CCCTTCGCACGTAATCACACAAGGTCGCAGGTCAGAAAATAGGCCCCAGATGGCCTATTTTCTTAAAGAATATGTTACTTGGTTTGTTTTTTTAACATTTACTGAATATAAGCCTAAAACTAATGGTTTCTGTCTTTAAATGGTTCTAAATTATTGCGTTTAGATACATAGAGAACATTACTAGCCAATACTTATAACCAAATTTAACATGTTGTTTGTTTGTTTGTTTTGTTTGTTTGTTTGTTTGTTTGTTTGTTTGTTTGTTTGTTTGTTTGGAGCGGGGGTGTTTGTTTGTTTGTTTTTTGATTCGGGGAAGGGGGGTTGGGTTTCCCCGCTTTCTCTGAACTTGTAAAACGACAAGACCGTTAGTACACTTTTCATTTGACAGATTCAAAGGTTAATCAAAATAGTATACTTTTTTTATTTTCGAAATGGAACAAGAAAGAGTTTGCATACGTTGACGAATTGATCACCGTATTTAAATGGTTCTAAATTATTGCGTTTAGATACATAGAGAACATTACTAGCCAATACTTATAACCAAATTTAACATGTTGTTTGTTTGTTTGTTTTGTTTGTTTGTTTGTTTGTTTGTTTGTTTGTTTGTTTGTTTGTTTGTTTGTTTGTTTGGAGCGGGGGTGTTTGTTTGTTTGTTTTTTGATTCGGGGAAGGGGGGTTGGGTTTCCCCGCTTTCTCTGAACTTGTAAAACGACAAGACCGTTAGTACACTTTTCATTTGACAGATTCAAAGGTTAATCAAAATAGTATACTTTTTTTATTTTCGAAATGGAACAAGAAAGAGTTTGCATACGTTGACGAATTGATCACCAGAACAAGAAATGTAAGGCCGTAAAGATGAGAAAAGTAGATATCGAAAACTTTTGCTTGGCCGTTTTGCGCCATGTTGAATGCCATAGTTTGATATGAGATTAGCTTAAAAATGGCTGAATGCAAATTTCTCATTGGGGTACTTCCCCTTGTACGCAATCATACAAGGTGGCAAGTCAGAAAATAGGCCCTAAGTTGCCTTCGCCATCCGAATCGCTAGAGAATTTTGTGGCCTAGCACTATATTGTACTAATGAGAGAGTCCCAGCTCCGAATCGGTCTTTTGACATGTAATTTTCTGGAAAAAAATTAGATGAAATTTCACTTTTGCAATGGAGTGAATAGATCATTTAATTTGAAAATGGCGATTCGATTCAGGACTAATTCCTGAAATAGAAAAAGAAAGTGAAATATTACATTACCTTAAATTAATTCGATGTGCGACGTAAATAACTCGGAGATTCGTGGACATTTCCCCATATTTTGTTTAAGTGAGGGTATTTATCATTGGTGTTTCTGGCAATTTATTTACTGTTCTGTAGCTGCAGCCAGCCACCTATTACCAACTCGAGCGCGCTCCCAGCAGAAGTGCACTACACTTTTGTACAATAGTTGGGTAAAACAAACTGTCTAATATAATATCCACTGATGGAAGAACATTACATGACGTTTGCTCCTTTTTATCCGAAAAAAATTCAAAGCAATATAAATTGTGTAATATATACAGTTGTGGCGGAGTGATGATTTTAATGAAACACTTCAACGTCATGATGTCAAAATAGTAAAAGAATTTTGACTTTTTCCTACATGGCTACAGTGCCGCGGGGCTCTTGTTGAATCAAAACACCCATCCGCCCGAGAATTCCTGTTGCGGCTGGAAAGCAATGGCGAACATTATATATATACTTAGGATATATATTGAGTATGGTTTTATCTGGATCGTGGCCTTTTGAAATCGATCGATAGGGGATTTGGAAAATTAATTGCTTCACTTCAATTAGACGTAAAAACAAAAAGGGCTCATTGCTTGTGACGTATAACTTTGAACGCAAAATCGTCCTCGATGTTGTATCTCTGACATTTGGAATTAAAGAGCGTTGTTCGGTCTGTGACAAACTCAGTATTCAAAAAGAAATGCTTAATGTATTTTCAGTTGAAATGCTGACACATTGACTTTTCTGTTGTTGATAAAACAAGACCTTGGTCAAAACACGTTTAGTTAGTTTTCTGTATTGTAGTCCAGCGGATATGTGAAAACACAAATGTGCACATTTTCATAAAAGCGTGAAATTTGGCAAAGATGTTCATGTTCATGCCAGAAAATATTCAGATGTGGAGCTATCGGAAATTCACTCTTTTAGGGGCGTAGCATCCATTTAAAATAGGGGTGGGACTCATCATGTCCACAGTGGAAACGGTCGTTCCCACTTGTCACAAAAGCAGTAAACTTCACAAAGACATAATGATATTATTATGCCCACCTTCAGGAACAATTATGCCCACATTTCATGAACGAATGAAATTTCCCACAGACATTGACAGTCATGAGAAAAAATCCAGATGTAGAGCCATCGCAAACACGCCCTTTTAGGGGCGTGGCAGCCATATTGAAAAAAAGGGAGTGGGGTTCTCATTATGCCCACCATAGGAAACAGGTGCCCACATCTTATGAATGAATAAAGCTAATTCCCACAGACGTTATTAATCACGAGAATAAAATTCAGACGTGGAGCCATCGCAAACACACCATCTTAGGGGCGTGGCAGCCGTAGTAAAATGGGGGGGGGGGGGTAGTCATGATGCCCCCATGAACAAGTTGTGCCTGCCTTTGATAAACGGATTAAATCCGCACAGAAAATATATTTCATGGGAATCTTTCTTTTTTCGAATGTGAAGCCATCACAAACTTACCCTTTTAGAGGCGTGGCATCCATTTTTAAAATGGGGAGGGGTACTTAATATGCCCACCGTAAAAAAAATTACCACCTTTCATATATAATAAAATCCACCTCAAATAGCTCTTCTAACATGTAGGAGTAGGGCTGCCTTTATAGTTGGAAATGACTGTTGGAAAACCCTTGTTTTCTTTATACACTATGCATTCTTGCCTCATCTATACTCAGTCACTGGTTCTGTCGTCTATAGAATTACTGTCAACCTCTCATCTGCAGCAATGTCTGAATTGGGGTATAAACTGGGGTACCTCAGTTAGTCTTGGAAAGACTATTATTACTTCTTGAAATACATTATATGTTTCCCATGCATTGTTTATGACAGACCCAAAGGCATATGTAGTGTCGCAACCCGTATAAAGTACAAAATGTTGTCAGGGCTGCTGATTTTTTTAAAAAATTTTCCCAATGTAGGCATAATAATACCCCCTATTAATGGCTGCCATGCCCCTCAAAAAGGTGCTTTTGTGGCTCCATATCTGGAAAACACTTATTATCTATATAATTATGTCTTTATGAAGTTTCCTGCTTCTGTGACAAGTGGGAGCAACAGTTTTCACTGTGGACATGATGAGTCCCGGCCCCCTTTTTTAAAGGCATGCCACACCCCTAAAAGAGTGAATGTAAAACATTTTCTGTCATGAATATGAACATCTCTGCCAAATTTCACGCTTTTATGAAAAAGTGCACAATTCATCGATATTTTGTCACATATCCGCTGGACTATTAGTCTGGTTCCCAGACCAAAATATTCTGACTATTCCTGATGAATCTTAGGTCCGGTAGCCTCCGGTAATACATTGTATTACAAGTTACGTCACGCGACTAAAACGAGAGGAATTCCTCCTTTTTCCGAAAATTTCCGAAGTTTGCCGAAGTCGTTTCGTCGAAAATCTGATAGAGCCCGAGTATTTCCGAGTATGTAATATAGGTTTAGTTAACTGCTAATTGCTTATTAATTTTGTTTTAAATGAGTTGATAATTAATATTCATTGCTTTCGTTTAGAAAACTTGATATTCAACGACGATTTTGTGCATCAAGTATACTCGGATCGTATGGGCGAACTTTTTGCAGCGTCACGCACAATTTTGAATTTGACGACCGTTACCGAGATTTTCCAAAACTCGGTCTTCATTCGGCTCCGCCTGCTAACAGTGCTATTTGGGTGCCTAATTTTGAAGATTCCAGATCAACATTAGTCAATGTTATCTTACAGAAACATCAAACTGTATTATCATGACTATGATATTACGAAGCAAATGATTTATTGACAAATTTGATCAGAACATTAAAAGCTACAAGCGATAAAGCGAAATCGGAAACGAAGCCGAGCTTTGAAAAAGGGCCATCAATGTCTTCATGTTTATTTTTAGCCACGGAGGCTGCCTGACCTAAGATTCATCAGGAATAGTCAGAATCTTTTGGTCTGGGAACCAGACTACTGGACTATGGGCTCCGTGCGCCAACAAAGAGGGCGCCTTTTACATAGCAACGACGTCCCATGGGCGGGACATTTAGCTGGTTGACGCGCACCGTTCCTTGTGTGGTGACGCACGTACACACCGGGATGTGTACAGTGGCGTAGCCAGGAATTTTTCACTGGGGGGGGGGGGGGGGGGGGGGGGGGGGGGGGGGACATTTCATTGGGGGGCGTCATGTAGATCAATGATCAGTTTTTTAGAAACTCAAAATCTCAGTAGGGGGGGGGCGACAAGGTTTCATGGGGGGGCTGTCGCCCCCCCCCCCCCCCCCCTCCGTGGCTACACCACTGGATGTGTACTATACACACAGTGGTCGCGCTCCGCGGTAAAATATTGCAGTCGGGCAAGATGGGGTCGTTCGGTTACCCCTTTCTGTACTTTCTTTGCCGGTGAGGGGGTACTTGTGAACGGAGCGGATTGCTCAAAAAGTCTCAAAAATAAAAACTAGTTGGCTGTACTTTAAAAGTATGCCTTCGGGAGTAGACGACACCATTCCTGTGAGCCCAGAAATAAATTCGCATTTAATTATTGATCATTGAATAACTGGTCATTTAAAGATATTTCATATGTAAAAATCGTTACAAATGTCTTTCATATATTCTACTGGTTTTTTTTTTATACTTTACACATTTCAAGACCTAAACTTTTTTGGCACTTTATAAACTGTATTATTATAAAATTATCTTTTGTTCCCGACATTTTTTTTGTCTACTTTGTAGTAAAATTTCGGCGACTGACCATGGCTTTGAAGACGTATGCAGATTGGGAAAATGCTGTGAAAGCCGCCCGGGTCAACTATGATCACTCCCAGTCTAAGATGGTCACTAAAACGAAAGCGGTCAGGAAGTCCAAGAAAATGGCATTCCTCTCTGTGTTTTCAATGACAAGGGCTGCGGCTGTTTCATCAGAACCAAAGAGCAACAAAAAGTCACCTACCAAGTCCCAGACGAAACAGCATACGGTGAAAGAATCTGAAAACAAAAGATGGTATGATTTCAATTGTTTAAACATTTGAAGAGAGAGACAAGCATCTGTCATTTAAACAAAAAATAGAATTATGTCATTTTCCATGCACCCAATCTCAGAAATGTACGTAATTTTCAAATATAACTTCAATGATATTTAGATTCAAATTGTTGAAACATGTTTCCTTGTATATGCATGTTTCAAGTTTCCCGTGCTTAACAATGTCTATTGCGTTATTTTCTTTCTGTTACAAAAATCGTCATAAAAGTCAAGTAACAAAAGTAACTGTTTGATGTTTGACGTGCAATGTTGATTCTTGTGTTTTTCAAACTGCTCGAGGCCTGAACAGCGCGACTTTAATATACCCCCTCCCCCCGCCCGGGCTCAGAAATGTCTCAGGAAGACAAAATGTTGATCAAAATCCATGCAGTGCACCTCCAAATAATGATGCCCCATTTAAAAAATACAAACCCATATCTGAGTACCACCTCGCAACTTGAGGGTCTACATGTGCAAGTCTAGATTCCATGATGGACATTTTACAAAATAATAATTCTATTTTTTCTAGCTCCCATTTTTTAAAATCAGGTTGACAAGTCTTGTTAGAAGTTAAGTCCTATTATTATTTTAGAAAAAGAGAGATTGAATGTGAAATTAAAACTGCATCTTAAAATTTCCGTATAGCTGAAACCAAGGGGTGACCGTGGAGTGTTTAGGATCCGAGTTCCTATATAACATATGAAACAACCGCCTTGAACTTTTTACTTTTGTCAAGTTTCAAGATTGCAAAAAATAAGTAAAAATGTTCGCACTCCTAAGTTATTCTTCATCAGATTAACACTTTATGCGTTGTAGTCGTTAGCAAATATTTGAAAACAAATGTTTAGAAAAGTGGCAACGATATGGAGGTTGTTTCCAATTATCCGCGGTCTCGGTCTCGGTCTCGGACCATATTGGTATCGGTCCCGGTCTCGAAACTTCAGGTCTCGGTCTTGGTCTCGGACTATCCAGTCTCGACTTCAACACTGGTCATTGTTCCAAAGCATATGCTTACGAGTCTATTATCTTTCTTTATTTTATTTTTAGTCTTGCAAAAGACAAAAAACGCACTATACAGATCATAGTTGAGACCCCCTTAGATTCAACATTTTGTCTGCAGCTGCATCCATCAACCTCGATTTCATCTCTGAAGGGATTGCTCCAAGATCGGCTGGGAATCGATCCTGAAAAACAACATCTTTTCACAAGAAAAGGATTCGAGGTAAATATGCATGCAACCAAAGGATGCAAGATCGAGCACATTTCCGCTATCTTGTGGGATCATTTGTGATATCACCTTCCCCTCTGACTTCTGCAATTACCCATAATATTACTGGCCTGTGCATTTCGTGGAGGCTACTGTGGAAAGTTTAATACTGCCTTATAAAACTGGTCACAAAGCGTTCAAAACTCCATTCAATTGATGAAAACGGCTAAAATGTTCGTAGAATAGTCTGTAGTAACATGGAAAATGAAATGAAAAAGACACACTCATCGTTGTAGTAGTTGTTGTGGTTTTTACTATCCCCTGAAGGTTTCTTTTAGCACTTATTTTCCATTCCTTATTTTTCTTAAGGAGTTAAGTTTTGGTGTATGTCTCTTTTAACAAACATTTATTGTATAAGTGGTCACAGCTGGTCTGTTTTACATTTACTTACCTTTGTATTTTAAAATATTGTATATTTCTATATTTGCTTGTCATTTTGTGTTTGTTATTTCATGATGATTTTAAACTGATTTTTTATATTTTTCTTGTTAATTCTAATAATTACTTTGTGTTTTTACAAAGTAATTATTTTCTATATGTTAGCATGTGCAGCATTTCTATTTAATGTTCACCGACCTTGAGCAGTTCTGCTGGTATATTATCTACTCCTGGCGACTCCTCATTTTTAAATTTATTTTGGCAACTGCTATCTCAACTTCTCTTTTGGATATTCGAGGTTCTGTATCCAGCTCACCTTTTCCTGGGCCCCCTCTTTCAAATTATGATAGCAAGTTAGGATCCGTTTGGATAGGATAATTGCAGATCTCCTTCATGTATTCGCTCCAGCGATTCTGGATTTTATTTGTTCCTGTTAGTAGGTTTCCATTACCATCTTCAATCAGATAGGTAACCAGTCTAATTAACAAGTGATAGTCAGTCAGTGAGATGGTAAGCCAATCTAATACACAAGGAAAGATCATATTCCTATTTATTGAAAATTGTTTTTGATAAAAATGTTTGTCAAAATAATTTCCCAAACAGCTTTGTGACGCGCTCTCACTAGAGGACCACAACATTCAGCAGGATACAAACTTAGAGCTACGCCTTGTCTCTGGGTTGATGGGCGGCACGAGGAAAGACAAAAATAAAACACGTTAGTATCGATGCGCATCGTTAATTGGCTGTATTTTAAACTGCATTTTGAACATTACCTTTTAATGCATGTATTTGTCATTTTTAACCCAGAGACAGAAGATCAGTCACAATTCGAAAAGATTTAACATGTCATCAAATCTCACGCACTCTCACAATATTATGTATACGCATCAGGATTAAAAAAATTCAACGGAATAGGAATAGGTTTATGTAACGTTGTTCGTTGATCAATCTGACATTACAGGGAGTACAAAGTCTGGTAAGGAACCATCACAAGATGACTCAAGTAAAGAGAAAGAGCCAACTCCCGGGAGACTAGACGATACTGTGCTGGAAGGAGCTGCAGCTAATAACCAGTCATCGAAACCCCGTGACAGCACTCAGCATACTACCGTACATGGTGATTTGAACAGTATCGTACTCGGGGACTTGCATATCACCCTATGTATAAGCAGTTTACATCTTGGTTTTTTTTAAAATTTATTTATTTACGCACAGTTTGAAAAGTTTCCATTAGAGTTGCATACCCCGTGGTCCTAAAAAATGTATTTTTTTCTCCTATAATAAAGAGTTTTCAGTTTGTATGGTTTGTTTTGTTTTAACGGGAAAAAACACTTTATTCAGATTTGGGGCGACTGCAACCCTCTGAAAAAAGGGGCTTTCAATTCGTGCACAAATGAACCCACCCTGTGAGATCCGAATTATAGTCTGGCCGCCAATAATTAAATTTGTGTGAAGAAGTAAGTCAATAACTAAATGTCGGTGGATTATTTCGTTCGATGGCTCATTCGAAAGTGAATAACTATACTGCTAGGAAAATAGCAATTGAAAAAAATGATAATCAATATTTAGTTTTCGAGGTGAAACTGGAAAATAGCACGAGGAACACATCTTTAAGAGACTATTTCTTTAGGGGGAGACCGTTCGTACGTACATCACAATCCTTCTTTTTGCTAATGCAATTTCTTTTTACGGAATTTATTTTGGGGGGGGGGGGCTAGACAAAAAAAAATGGGGGGGGGGGCTAAAGCCCCCAGCCCCCCGTAGAACCGCGCCTGCAAGGTAGATATATAGCTTCTGTTTATGTTCTACAAGGTACAAATATTGTTTTATACTGTTTTATACTTGCTCCGCAAAGCAAATTATTACGACAACCTTGTTGTTTTTTGCGGAAGCTCGGGTAGCGTAAAGACAAATACCGACATCTTAAGAAGTGGGTTAATCGGTATTGAGGGAATTCGATTTATAAGAAAATGAAGAAAAGTTGTTATGTTGAACGCGTCAAAAGTCGTTGCTTTAAATTCTGTTCTGATGTACTGCATTCCAGATGCTGCCTCGATGGAACTACCGGTGCACATGTCAGACTGGACCGAGTATGATGTGAAACGTTGGCTCATAAGTCTCGGGGTATCGGACGGGGTTGTTAATCAACTATTCGATGAACAAATAGATGGAAGGGTTTTGAAGCTGTACACAGAAGATCATCTGACGAAAGATTTCAGCATAAACAAACGGGACATGCGTCTCATAATGTACGAAAGAGAACACTTTCTACGTCAGCCTGAATCAAGCCCAATCACGAAGGACACGTCATTCAGTGATAAAAAAGAAGAAAGTGAGCCTCTTCAAGATGAAACCCACGTCCATCAGATACAGACGTCCACAGTTGAACCTGAAAAGAAAACTGATGAAGTCTTTAATGATATCCCCCAAGCATCAGTTCGACCGAAAATACCAAAATCCAAAGCAACAATTTCTTCACAAAAGACAGAGAAGGCGGAGCTACCAGATACTCTCCCACCTCATCAGAGTCCTCGTCTAGACATCCTTCCTCCAAGTGGAAAAGCAAAACCATTCGATGAGCGAGACGAACCATTACAAAGACCCGTTTCTCGTGGCGAGATGGCTCCATTGCAGAAAACATCCGAACATGCACAAAGACACGACGAAAGCAAACCGGATGTTGGAAAAGACGTATGCCCAAAACCCAACGATCAAACTCCGCCGTCTTCTCATGGAGATGACGAATCGGAAAGGCAGGCTTTCGGCGAGAAAAATAAAAAATCTACAGCTACATCTCCTAAGGGGGAATCGTCCGATACACCTCCGCATATGTCGGCAGTGGAAATCAGTAAAGATGACGAAGCTAAGGTTCGCATGCTACTCACAGGGGATGAACATGGCGAACTGTCCCAGTCATTCTATCCCGTACTCGTTGCAAATAAGCCGACCGTACTTAATAAATCTACCGAGTCTGAAATCGACCCCTTTCGGCAACAATTTGGATTTATAAAGGACATCAAATGGACAGCTGTCTTAGATTTTGATGCAACATCTCTATCAGATGGACTGTGTAAGCTATATCATGAAAAAAGAATGGTTACCCTGCAGGAGCCGGACCTGTTCAAAGACATCAAATCAGAGGAAGACCTAAAAGAACTAAGAAAAAACATCGGATTTCCAGAAAAGACTATTTGGCTATTCGCTAATGGTCGAGAAGATAACCCAAGTATCCGTACCCCTCACATGGATCTACAGGAATGGAACAAGGAACGCAGTCGAGATGTAGAAGCATCCATCAATTTCTTTTCTCAGCCTTCGGTCATACCAAAGGATCGTGCTTCTATAGTGTTTCTTCTACTATCCGATGATGATCTGGGAATTGTCTGCGACATTTTCAGAAAAATGTTTTCATCCTTCAAAGGCTTACACAACATCACCTGCATCGCTGAAAATGAAAATGTTTACTCACAGTTTGTAAAGGGCGTGGAAAAGTGGGTCACCAAACCTGAGTTGGACGAGAGGAGCGTGGTTGGACTGAAATGGCAAGAAATCAACGGCATCATTATGCGAATGAGTGGTGTGAACCAGGTCGAGGCAAACGAACTGCCTACACGCATGGCAGGAAAATGTTTCTTATCCGAGAAACAGAAAGAGCAATGGGATGATATAACTGTTGTTTGCAAAAACGAGTGCGAAAATACCGACATGGACGAATCCAGTCAGGACTACCAAAAATTTGCGGAAAAAAAAGAAGTGAACTTTTATCGCGGCGCGAAGGTTGACTGGTGGAATTTTTCCATAGGTGAAAGGGAAATGAATCTCCACAGAGGTTGTGGTCACGTGCTGAAGAGAAAAGGATTTGGAGAAATGTCGAGAAAAGTCCGTAAACCGCTTGATAGTTCGAAGGCTAAAGAGAGCTTAATTGTCACAGTGACACTCTTACACCAACCTGGTGCCGGGGGTACTACGTTAGCCCGTCATGTCCTGTGGGAGCTTCGCCACGATTTTCGCTGTATCGTCGTGAACAGAGTTACAAAGAACACTGTAAATCAGATAATGGGGGTAAGAAGGCACGGTTATAACGAGGACTCTACTGAGTCTACTCAGAAAATTCCTCCTGTGTGTGTACTTGTTGATGACATCGATGAAGTTGAGCTGCTCGACTTGATTGATGAGTTAAAGGATGTTTCAAGAGATATGCACCTTGATGGTGGAGCAGTTTGTGTCCTCTTGCACTGTAAACGTTGTTCGGAGCCGGAAACATTGGTGGACAGTGAACGTCGAGAACTCTTCATTGCGTTGACTCAAAAGCTTGACTCCCGTGAAAAGGAATGGTTTCAGAAAAAGTACAATGAATTAGAACACAAGGAAAAGGAACTAAAAACTGCCGAGTACAATCCCGAACATCTTCTCGCATTCATGGTGATGAAGGAAGAATTCAGTAAAGAGTATATCGCACACGTTGTTTCGAAGATTCTGAGTGACATCCAACCGAACGAATTTGAGCTAATTAAGCTGTGTGCGTTTTTGAATTCCTACAGACCAGAGGCTGCCATACCTATATCTTGCTGTGACTCGCTTATGGATAGGCGGTCATTACCCCGCAGCAGACGGCTACTATACTCGACACACCCCTCGACACGAAGGGTTGCTCCATGGGAGACTTTAGTGTCCTCTTCTTTTCAGATCATTGTGGTCGCCGAAGACAAGGAATTAAGGATCTTTCATGAAAGCATAGCCAGAGAAGCTTTAACGCAGACCCTCCAGATTGACAACCAGTCGCTTGTAGACGTCGCCATGGATTTTCTGAAGTCTGAACTGTTCCGTTCATGGTCCCACTCCAAGGAAAGCCTCAAAAAAGCAACGCGCGATCTTCTCGTTATAAGGAAGAGGAAAAAACATGGTGATGACACCGAGACTAAATATGCGGTTCTCATAGAGGACATTCGCAACAAACATGAACCCGAAAAGGCCATCGAGATACTGAAAATTGGCTTTGAAACACTTGAAGATGCCTTTGTAGCTCAGCAGCTTGCAAGACTTTATCTGACATTGCGCAACATTGAAATGGCACATTTATATGCTGACAAAGCACTGCAGCTGGACCCCAAAAACTGTTACTTTTGGGATACCAAAGGCCGAGTGTACAAAACAGCCACGCAAGAAAAGTCGTCCAAATACATGGAAGAACAGCAAGTCGTATGCGATGAGTTCCTTTCCAATTCATATGGAGCCATGGATGCCTTCCACACATCCTACGAGGTTTCCAAGGAGGCGAAGCAAACTGAGTACACCGGTTTATATGCAGAAGTCGAAGTCGCCTTTAGACTTCTTGAGGTCATCGGCACGTGCGTAGAGCCCTTCAGAACAAAGGGTGGAAAAGCGGATTTGAAGAAGTATCTTCTGAACATCAAACCTTCAGACCATCCACAAATAAGCGACCGCTGCCACGCCCGTATTATGAATTTGAAAGACCGAGTAGACTCTGTATTGAGTTTACTGGATGACATGTCAACCTTCTGCAAAGACGATCCTACAGCGAGTACGGGACAGAAACTTGCTGAGATGAAAGAGCACCTGAAAGAATACTTTAAAATATATGAAAGGTATTACGGTGAACCGAAACCAGCACAGCCAAGCAAGTATCAAGATCCCACAAGCCTTGCCGAATATTGGCGCAGACAAGTCAAGGAATCCAAATGTGGCACCTTTCGTGATATCTTTGATCTTGCTCGAAACAAGGAGTTACGTACACTCGACGAATCTTTGCAACTTCTGTTGAAGAACTCGAACCAGTACAACTTTTTTGACTTGAAGACTATCATATGCATACACTTGGCTTTATCCTCAGCTAAAGAGCAGTTGGTGTCAGCTGATGAGGTTTATCAGCAGTTTGTTCAGCCGCTGAATGCTATAGATCATCGTAAAACAGACTGCTTTCCACCTTTCTTCATGATGATGTTTCTGTGGCCAGTACCAGATGTTGACTCGGAGAGACTAGACGGATATGATTTGTCGTATTACATTGACGCACTGAGAAAGAGGTGGCAGGATCTCGCCGGGAAAAGATTGGCACAAGAAAGATGGTCCAGCCGACCCCAAAATAAACCACGTACATACTTCTTCTTGGGACAAGGCAAAGATCTCCAAGTGTTTGCCCACATCAACGAGCTCCACCCTACTCCGGGTAAAATTGATAGGGCAGAACGTGATGATGAGTTTTGGTCGTCTCGTCCTGTCAAAGAGCGGTTAGTCCGTTTGGAAGGAACATTACAACATCATACATTCCTAGTGCACCTCTCGAAGAAGGGCAAAATCGAAATCAAATTGGCAGTTCCTTTTAATCAGCAAGTACCAAGTCGAGAGGCCGTCACGTTCTACCTTGGATTCACCTGGGATGGGCCGGTTGCTTATGATGTTAAGATCAAAGGAAAGGAATCGCGTAATGATGCAGCACCACGCTTTCACCATGCCTACCCGAGTTTGACTATACCATCTGAAAAATCCAAGACCTCGTTGTCAAAAAATCTGTCCAAGATTGACCAGCTTCAGAAGGATCGCCAGAATCTGAATAAAGAGCGAATGGCTTTGCTAGCTTCTCCACAAGAGTATGTAAAAGAGACAACCAGCAAGGTGATTACATTTTCTCTACTATCGTTAATCAGCCTTTCACGGAAGGCAAGTTTTTGTGAGGATTAATCCAAAAGATTGAAATTTGTTCCCAGATTTATAATTATACGCTCAAAATATTCGATTGTTGAATTTTGTCAAAATAGTTCAAAATAGTTATTAGCGTGCTACACCTAAATGCACACGAACGATACATTCATTACCAGTGATGCAAAAATTAACGCATACACACGTATAGCCTGTAACATACAAGGGGCAATCATGTTTAGGCCTATTCCCTTTTTTATATTTGACAGGGGGATGTTTGGACACTCAGAACAAAGAAGATTCAGGAATGCGAACTTCAATTGAAGGGAAAACAAGATGAACTTCGGCGGCTTTTACAGGAAGACACGTCATTGGAGGACGGGCCTTAGCCTATCAATGATGTCGTCATCAGCTGACTGATTGGCTAGGAAATTCCATTTGAGGTTGTCATTGGGAAAGCATAGAACGTGTGAGATATATACAGATGTATGTATTAATTTCCAAAGAGTCAATTCTAACCACCGCTTTCTTCATTGGGCTTACCTGCACGTGCATTAGCAAACAAAATGGTTACGATTTTATACAGGCGGTATATACATGTTTAAGATTAATGGAGCAGAGTGATTTTTTTCGGTGTTTCTTTTAATGACAGCTCACGATGCAACACCAGCTCGTTCAAATCGATTATTTTCTATTAAACGCTGAACAATTTTTTTTTAAATGAAGACACAGTTCACGGCAAACAGAAAAAAAATGAAGCGTAGGGACCTTTTAAGGAAAGTATGCCGTTTATACGGTTGTATCGATCAACAATATCTTTGCTTCACGAAGTCCCTTCACTTTAAAAAAACAATTATTAGTAGGAAAAAGTGGCTATACTTCCTCAATTTGTTTCATTCCCATTGAATGTTCCCTTCACTGACACAATGTATATAAAGCGCAAATGTTACTTTTCTGTGGCTTACGACACAAAAATAATCGAACTAGTTGTTAACATAGGCCTATAGTAGAGCAGGTAATCAAAAAATACCAATGATTGTTTTTCAAATTATTTTTATTGCACTTATGCGGATTGCGAATATTACATGTTTACCTTTCTGACTTTTAACCTAATTATAGGCCTATTTAATTGTTTGTCTTTATTTTGCCAAGTTCGTGATATGCTTCAATTTTCCAGTGAGAATTTCATCATTAAAAAAAAACAATAATTAAAGTTTTCCGTGCAGTATAATATAGTTCTGCGTAAAATTCAAACTCGGTACTTTTTACACTAATGAACAAGGAGATGAAATGTTATCATGTGAAATGTTGATTTTTCTTCTTTCTTATGCAGGGGAAAGTTAGAATTGTTGAAATGTCCATGTAAAGCAAATGGTTCAGTTGATGTCATAAACTTTAATCATTTGTATATATTTTCTTAACGTTAACTTTAGATCAATTCGTATATCCTTACTTGTACAAGCATGCAGTTTTTATGTGACACCTTAATCGAAAGTGTATTTACAAAAAACTGCAAGGACATCCTTTGATTTTACAATTACAACTTTATAAGGACTATTTCTGTTTCGATCTTTCGATGAACTGTAAAAACACATGCTTATATCAACTGCATTAATACAACTTATTCTTGAATTGATAGAGGAAACGTTTTATATATGAGAATATGGATCAAGTGGAGCTGTAATTACGATTGTTTACAAGTAGAACACGTAAAAAAATGTTTTCAAGTTAAGATTTGTTTGTACTAAGGTGGATTGTGAATATTTTTGCATTTATGCGTTTCTGACTTTGTAAATAACTTGTCTTTGGGTTAATGTCTTTATTTTCCAAAATGTATGATGAACTTAACATTTACAGTGGACTTAACATTTACAATCAAGTGAAAACATAACTGAAGTTTTTTGTAGTATACAGGGCAAGTAAAACGAAAGTGACCAGGATTACAAAAAAAATTTCTTAAAAAGCAATCAAATTTGATGCACCGATGAATCTGACTCCAAAGAGCATTTTCTTCCACTCATCTGAAAACCAAAATAATTACTGAAAGTGATCCATGCTATCAGAAGTTATGCATGACTTCCAAAAAGAACCAATTTTTATAGTGTTGTTTGGAAGATATTGAGCTGAGTGAGAATTACAGATTACACACAGGCATTCAAATACAAATGAGATTTTAATCATTTGAGTCAAGACTGAAACATTATTTGACTGTCAGATTTTGTGCTCTGAATATAATGAACAAGTCCACTCGATATTTGTCTATTTTCGTTCATTCATGAAGGTGAAAAAACGTCCATGTTTCATTGTATTTTGATTGGTATTCATCAGTTCGTAGAACGGTAAATGATCAGTGGTGATCAGAGTATGCATATTACGTGAAAATTCCACAGTTACCTGTCAATAACATTTACTTCATCCGTAATTGTTTTTATGAAATGGAGCGAGCCATCTTATTCTTATTCGTTCACTTTCTTTTTGGCTCACCTTGTACATGTAGTTCTGCGGTAAAATGCTGTTCAATTAAAACTCAGTACTTGTTACACTAATGGACAAGGAAATTAAATATCTTGTGAAGTTAATATTTTTAACTTACTCTTTTAATTTCAGGGAAAATTTGAACGATTCACATTTTGTATGTTTATTTTAAGAGAAAACGTGTTGCTTTTCTGAAACTTTGGATCAATCCATGGGATATTTCTGTATTATTTGATACATTATTATACATTGTAATATTTACATATACTAATCAAAAGCTCATATACAATTAATTGTAAACACATCTTTATAGCTGGCAATGATGCAAGCAATTTCATAACAGGGGCGCACCCCCCAGGCTCTCAGAATTTGGCGTTATTCTGCTTAAAACCCAGAGTCTCTTATTCTTGAATGGATAGAGAAAATCTTTACATAGAGAAATATGGATCAAGTGAAGCTGTAATTGCGATTGTTAAAGTAGAAAACGCAAAAGAAATAACAATAGTTGTTTTCAAATCAACGTTTTATTGTTCTATGATGTATATTATGTATGCGTTCTAACCTTTTAATCATTCATTGTTTTGGGGTTATATGTCTTTGTTTGTCGTGGTTTGTTATGAATTTAAAGTTTACAGTGAGTGTTTTGAACAATCAGTTGAAAACCTAACTGAAGTTTTCCGTTGAGCATAATCATAATAGCTCTGCGTTCAAACTCTGTTAAATTCAAAGTGAGTACTTGTACACAATTGAACAAGCGATATTATGTAAAGTGTTGATTGGTCATTTTGTACTGTTTTAATACGTGGAAATTTAAGATAATTGACACGTCAACGTAAAGCAAATGGTTGGGATGGAATATCAACCATTTGTGTATATATATTTTCTCACACCAGAAGAAAACTGATTGCTTCTCTTAACTTTTGGATCAATCCCGCGGCCTAATTGTACACGCTGTATGCATTTTCAGTAAAGCAATCAAAAGCGTATTTACAAATAGCTTTCTATAGGCTTAATTGTACACGCTGTATGTATTTTCAGTATAGTAATCAAAAGCGTATTTACAAATAACTGTATACTTATAGCTAACAGTGATGCAAGCAGTGGCGTAACTGCCCCCGGATGGTTCTAACTCACCCTATACCCCCTTGGGCCTATATAGAATTTGACGTTATATTGCTTAAATCTGAGAGCCCCCCCCCCCCTTTCCAACAAACGAGGCACCCTGGGTGCACCCTGGATATAGAACCCAGGTACGCCACTGGATGCAAATGTTACCAGGATTAATATGAAATTTCACCTACTAGATTACTGATTTCACTTCGATCTTTCGATGTATTGTACAGATAAGCTTATCAAATGCATCAATACAACTTATTCTTGAATTGATAAAGCAATTAGGAGAATATGGATTAAGTGATGCTATGAACAACAAATGTGTAAAACAGCAAACAAATGGTATAGTCTTCCAAAATAGTTTTGTATTGACTGTATGTCTCCAAAATTAGAAAACAATAGTTTGATTAAAAAGCATATTCTTGAGTGTTTTCAGCAACTTATGCATTTGCTTCAAATATAAGTAGCCGGATAACAATCTAACGTGTATTTCGTTTGTGATGGCAAGTTATTACACTAGGCCAATTAAATTGTATATCAGTCTTGGAGGCTGTGTCTTATAATTATGTCATGTAAACGTGAAAAACGTGTTTTTTGCTAAACAATTACTTAGTTTCTAAGCATATTCCTATAACTTTGTGTAAAGGGCAGACGAAGCATATTTTTTAAGATTAAATTTTTGCATGGTAGGCATATGCACAATTATGTTGAAGTTTGTGTCTGTGAAAAAAAAATGTGGCAAAAAATCTAATTCATGTTATGGGACCATACATTTCTGGTAATGTTGCCACCATAATTTCCGTAACTAAATGTTTTAAGCAGTGTTCCCCCCCCCCCCCAAAAAAAAGGGAACAGCCAAGCTAATGTACAGAACTTCCCCCACGTGCCTCGCTACCATCAGTGATATTCTCAAATTATTTTTGACATTGAAAATTTTTTAAGCACTTATTGGGACTTCCGAATGCCCATTGCGCGCAACAGGCCTGTTGTATATAATGTAGTAACCAACTACAATGTAGCAACGAATCATCAACCGATAACGTCATAAAAATTGACCGATATTGTTTCACTAACCGATAATGTAACAAAAAATGACCGACAGTGTAGTAAATGTTACTACACTATTAGTCAATTATTGTTACATCTTCGGTTAGGACCGATAATGCAATAACAATTGACTGATGGTGTAGTACATTTTACTGCACTATTGGTCAATTTTGTGTAACATTATCGGTGGGTGATACAGTATCGGTCAATTATCAGTTGTAACACAGGCCTATGGATATAAAAGGAACGAAACGTTTTCTGTTTACACTCTACGTTCAATGTCGTATCCAAGGGGGGGGGGGGGGCAGAGGGGGCAGTCTGCCCCCCTGGCGGATTTTTGTCACACATGTTTCTGCATCCAAATTGCTCAGAATTAAAAGCCCCAAGTCCGGGCCAGAGGTTCATTGCCATATTTCTTCAATTCCCCAATTTTATGGCTCTCAGAAGTCTCTAATATAGAATATTTTGAGGGTATAACTTTTATTCGTGAGCTCGGCGGATGGATTTAGGCCCCTGTGGGACTTTCTATCATATAAACAGCGAATATATTTGAAGAAACTGAAAAGGCAAGCAAAATGTTCCTAGTCCCATGCATTCATTGTCATTTAACTGCTTGTGCTTTTCGCCTGTGTACACTTTATATAGGCCTACGGCTATATACAAAATTAATACCTCAAAACGAGTTTCTTAAGCAATATAGTGCTGGTCGGCTAGTCTATATGGCGAAAGCCACATGGTCTATATAACATTTGAGCAGATTCGCTAATTAAATTATGCAAGGCAATCGCATCTTGACCTCTAGATTAAAAAAAAAGTCCATATGAAAGATTCCATACAGACATTGCCCTCCGACTATATGTTCGTGAAAACGAGCCTCGGTGAGTCAATTGGAAACACATAGGGCCTATACTTCATCTTACAGTGCAGCTTCGCCCACGAAAGAGCAAAAGTCCCCATTTCTGAATTAGCGGACTGCAACATCTTTTCGTGAATGGGATTGCCAAAAATGGACAATGGCGGGGGGGGGGGTATATTTTGTAAAGACTGCCCTTTTCCATTCAAATGCATTTTTTTCACCAGTGCTTAACCCCCCCCCCCCCTCCCCAGTATTTTGTAAAGAGTGCCTTTTTTTTAAGAAGTGCTCTTTCTTTCTGAACAAGTGTCATTTAAACATTTTACGGAGGCCAAGATTTGCAAGTGTCCGGAAAAAAACCTGTCTACATTTCACCACGGATGTGCAAGTGCCCTTTTCCAGAAATTGTTTACGACCCCCCCCCAATAAAAATGACCGTGCTACGCCCCTGTTGATACATGTATTATGCAAATATTAGTCGTTTTTAAGTGTATTTTATTTAGGCGTATGATTGCAAAATAATGCCAAGATGCTAAATTATGTGCTTTGGGATGCAGCAATCGGAAAACAGGATTTAAGCCGTAGGCCAACATTTGCTGTAGGTTATTGTTTTGGTTATCCACCGTGACGGAGCCCAGTCTCATGGCTTTCGCCATGGTCTATTACATAGAATATAGTAGGCAAAAGTGCCGGTGGCTCCAATGTGGAAACATCAGTCAAGCTTTGGAAGTGGGGTGATCGAATGGCCCTTCTCCCGGTAAAAGAAGGTTGGGAATTCCCCCCCCCCATCCACCGGGACATGAGTTATTTGAATGATTCTTGTAATAAAAGAAAGCTTATGAATCTGGCTTTCATAACCTAGATTTAAAAAGTGCTACTTACAGAACTTTACTAATACAATAGTCCCGACATTTGGGTTTCGCTTTATTTGACTCACCCTGTATACATGTATATAATTATGCCTACTTGGAGCAGGGCTAGTAACTACCGCAAATATCACACTCCCAAGAATGAATGTTTAAATGAAATTATGATGAACAGCTACAAAAATCAGCTTATAAATTTGAAAACAAAATACTCACGGGGAAGAAGTCCTTGCGAATACCCGGTCGTTTAGTGCATTCACTGTTTAAATCGATGTGTTCTTAAAATTCACAGTGCATGCATTGGATTGGATGGACATTACAACCATGCGCGCGTACATTGCGGACGTAGTTTGGCCAAATACATGCACATGGAGTACCGAAGTGTGACGTCATTTAGAACCAGAAAGTGTAGTGCAAATTGAATGGAGTACGCGCGCGTGTTGGTTCACGGGCTGAATCACGCGCTTATGTCTTTTACACACATTGATCTCCATCTCTACTATAATCCAGGAATCTCCGTGTGTGTGTTGGCGTGTCTGTACTTCTTTCTTGTCTTTTTTGTTCATTTCAAGATTTCAAATGGGGACGTCCCCCCCAAATGTTACAAGTAAAAACAAATTTCGTTTCACTCAAAATTACTAAGAACAATTTTGCAAAACCTTGGGTGCTGTTCATCAGCGTTTCAAATATATCAATTTCCTGAAAGATTTTTTTTTTACCAGCTACGTTTCGGCTGCTTCGCTATGAAAACCTACACATGTATATAGTCGAACCCTGATAATAAGAGCACTGTTCATACAACGTCATGCTTATAACAAGCACAATTTTAGGTCTCAAGTCTTTGTTTTTCTTTGTTTTCCAACACTGTTAATACAAGGTACCTGTTATAACAAGGTAATTTGTAAAGTCCCAAGGACCTTGTTATAAAGGTGTTCGACTGTATCCCATCCCAAAGAGATTGCATGTACATAACAGAACAAAACACTCCAGACAATTCTCTGTTCGAATAAGGTCAACCAAATTTATTGCAATATACCAAATAACATTTTGTTTTTCAAGACACTCCACCAAAGAATGTACAATGTATATCTGCAATCGCCTTGAAAGGCTTGACTAGTATTTTTTTGTAACTCATAAACAGTTAAAGTGCGAGTTGAGTATGTAAATATACTTCTATGCTTCGTGCACGAATGGTATTTTTCCTGTGAACTTTAGTAAAATATTTGACGTCAATTTCCTCCTTTATTGGTTGTCGGCAGAAAATTAACACTTCAAATATGCACAATAAAACATACAAGTATAGCTACATTCCAAATGGCTATGTAGTAAATTGTAATCTCTACAAAAATTTAGTGCCTACGACACTACAAGTGAATAAATTGATTAGAATACCACCCTTGTATGGCTCCAATTTTGAACACAAATTATGATTGTGTATAATTCGTACCTCCCTGTCTGTAACTACATGTAACACTCCAAACAAAAACAATACATCCTTTTTTGAAAAGCTCATTTCAAGCACTCAACTTTGACACCTGAATTTTTGTGTGCATAGTCCCCAGTTTTGTCTAAATCTCTTTAACAAAGTTACCATTGATGAAAACAGGACTTTAAAAAAATACATGCAAACTCATTTCAAATTCAATTCTAAGATAATACATTTATATATATGCATTCCTTCCAAAGTATCATGTAAATGGTGAACCAAAAATGGGCAGGAAAAAATAGTAATGGTGTTTGGATGGTGTTATCATCTCGAGCAATGAGGCAATTGTCTCATTGTCTCTTGTGTGGTGTTGCTCCACTTTGAATGGAACTCTGCTCCGATTTAGAAAGATTTATCTATGTCGGGTTCTTCACACAGTTCTGACAATCAGCTTTACCAAAATCAGAGCTTGTGTAATTACTTATGGTAACAAAGATGTGATGACTGTTTCACATAACTGTCCCCTGCATCAGTGAAAGACACCCAAATCGGCGACCATATCTTGGCTCCATACAGAGCCATTCCAGAAGCAGGCATGCAACTGGGAAATCACCAAAAAAAAAGAGGAAATTCAAATTTTCCCCGAACTTTGTACAGTGTTTTTCTATTTTCAATGGCACACATGGGAAGTAAAAAAAGAGGAAATCAGCTGATCCGAGGAAAAGTTGCATGCCTGCAGAAGAGGTTTTGTTACATAGTTGGCATCTGATCACTCTTTTTCAGTAATGCAAGTACACAGTTGACTGTGAGGCATCTTTTATTAATTTGAAACTTTGAATGTAATATTTGGATTGGTTTTCAAGTTTTCTTTGCATCGTGTGATTCAGCTTTTTGGGCAGCCAGGTACAGAGCATAGCCCAGAAATGCAAAGCAGACTCCGGCAATAGACATGGCCGCATTGTAGGCTATCCGTACCCTCGGATCAACAGAAGTCCCAGCTTTAATGGCTTCCTCCTGCCCATCTTTGTTCTAGTAAAAAAACACACGACAAAAAATACCAAATTGACACAAAAAAATTGAACTCTGGAGACAGCTTGAAGGACGCAACTTTGGGGGCTCTACTTCTTTGGCATTGAGAGATCGAACAGTTCGTAGCAGACCCATCCTGTTCCGGCCACCGTCAAACCCATGATTGCAGTGTATGAAAATTTGTCCATGATACCTCCCTTCAGATGCACTGGCAAGCCATCGTCTTTCTGTTAATGACAGACACAAAGAGGGGCCACTAACTAAATAGACTGTACTTTATAAACTGGTGATCATTCAAACATTGATCAAGTATAAATGTCTTATTAATCTGTGATAGGAAAAAAAATTGATCAGGACAATGTTTCATAAGTCAAGTTTAATAACTATCACTGCTGAATCCAACAGGGCCCAACTATATCATAAACCTTATGGAGCCTGTTGGATTGAGCAGTAAACCCCTTGTACAAATGTACATGTACATTTTCAGAGTCAGATTCTGTTGGGTACTGATAAATAATACCAAGTTGGACTCTGTTGGATCCACCAGACAATTAAAAATTAGGCAAAGTTGGATTCTGTTGGATTGAGCAGAAAGTAACCATTCGACTCTGTTGGATTTAGCAGGGTAGCCCTGAGGAACCCTTGGGGGGTTAGGGTTAATTAAGCAAGTGTTGCGTGATGAATTAAAAAAATCTGTTTGATTGCAAGTGAGTTGAAAGGGTTTGAAACATTTCAATTTGAAGCTTACTCTTCTATTAAGAACAATTTCAGTCTTCAACTTCAACTATACCCAACTGGGTAATGTTTCAGATCCGATGACTTGATACATCCTAGCCCACATCTTTGTGTATGATGTTTGGATAAATGTGGTGTCTTGAGGTCAATCCAATGCAACTTTGAAACCTGGGAAAAATTAGTGCATTCCGTTCGTGTACAGTGTACATTTATTCACCAAACACTTATAGTTCATTTTCAATGGCGGTTTTGGAGGATTGAGGATGAATGGTGTTTGAGAAACACAAGGATTTTGGAGGATTGAGGATGAATGGTGTTTGAAGAAGTGGAGGATTTTGGAGAATGGAGGATGAATGCACTTTTGAGCCAGGACTGTCTGACGATTTTGAAGGACTGACTGGGTATCCTTCATTTGAACATCAGTGCAAACGTTGGGAGGATTTTGGAGGATTGAGGATGGTTCCTAGCAAAAAGGCTCCGGGGGTTAGGAATATGTATCAGTCCTTACAATAAGCCATTTGTGAGTAACCTATACCCTTTGGGATTTACATTTGAAAAACATGTGGTACACTGACTTGCTCAGAATGCTTGGCACATTTTAACTTTGAATTCTCCAGACCAAAGACACTGTTGCTATATCACATGATTTGGGGCAAGCTCTTGCATAGTTACGTAAGAGACGCTCAGCACCAATACATTGTTCACAGTGGGTGAGAATGGCACAAAGACACCAGACCATGCCGGAGCTGGGGGTTGCTAGCATAAGGCTTGCCCTGAATCACCTGATATAGTAACAGTCTCTTTGGTCAGGAGAATGCTAGGTTAAAACGTGCAAAGCATTGTATTAAGTCAGCGTTCCAGATTTTATTCAAATTTAACTCGCAAATGGCTTATTAATTAGTTCAACTGGTGACACTGTGAAGTCAGTGTGTAAAATGGTGTGGATTTGCACCTCAGTTTCAATGTTTGTCCTTGGGGGGGGGGGGGGGGGGGGGTTGGGGGGGAGAGGGGTTGGAACTATAGTCCACTTGCATAGCAGGCATTTTTGAGGTGATGCAATTTTATTTCGGCAAGAATGAATGAACAACACATGCATACACCTCAAAGGCAGCAGTGATGCAAAGGATTATGTTCTAGAGGGCAATTTATCCTCCTTTTCTAAACACAATGTATGCATAGTGTACTCACCTGAAATCGCATCTGATTTTCTTTCACTTTATTTTGGAGCTGGGTCCTCGTTGACGTGGAGAAGTTGGCCCTGGCACGAGGCAACAGGGACCTCAGAATCTGTAAAGGCAGGATGATTATCTAATAAAAGCAACTGATCTTCTGATAAATGCCCAATCAATGTGTTTCACTATAGGAGATGGTAAATATACGTATATCATACCACACATCGTCGCGTCAGTTCAACAACGTCGTATAATAAACTCCATTCTGCAATGAAGCTGCATCTCGCGCGAATATGCTCCGTGCAACAAGGTCGTATCTCGACGTCCGTTGACTTTTGTGCGTACATGTACATCCGGGTTATTTTATGTGACATACGACCTTTTGACATTCTGAAACTTGTGTTTCACTTAGGAGATATGACCTTGTTGCACTGACACGACGACATGTACAATACTTATATCTGTAATTACCAAAAATAACAGCGTTGCTGTTGAAACCCCTCAGCCAGAGTCAAGTTATCATCCGGAAACCATTAACCTTTAACTCAACGTGGTGACCTTGACCTTTGGCCTTTGACCCCAGAACCAGTCCCAACATGCCTGTACCAATGGGAAACCCCCTACCGAAGTTAGACACCAACATTTCATTTCTAACTCAAGGTATCATTCGGAACCATTTCCATTGAACTCACCACGGTGACCTTGACCTTTGACCTTTTGACCCCAAAACCAATCCCAACTTGCCTGTACCCAAGGGCAAACCCCTACCTCAGTCAGACACCAAAATCTCATTTCTAACTCAAGTTATCACCCGGAAACCATTTACCTTTAACTCACCATGCTGACCTTGACCTTTGACCTTTTGACCCCAAAACCAATCCCAACTTGCCTTCTCCCAAGGGGAACCCTCTTCCAAAGTTAGACACCAAAATCGCATTTCTAACTCAAGTTATCATCCGGAAACCATTTACCTTTAACTCACAATGGTGACCTTGACCTTTGACCTTTTGACCCCAAAACCAATCCCAACTTGCCTACTCCCAAGGGCAACCCTCTACCAAAGTTAGACACCAAAATCGCATTTCTAACTCAAGTTATCATCCGGAAACCATTTACATTTAACTCACCACGGTGACCTTGACCTTTGACCTTTTGACCCCAAAACCAATCCCAACTTGCCTACTCCCAAGGGCAACCCCCTATCAAAGTTAGACACCAAAATCTCATTTCTAACTCAAGTTATCATCCGGAAACCATTTACCTTTATCTCACCATGCTGACCTTGACCTTTGACCTTTTGACCCCAAAACCAATCCCAACTTGCCTTCTCCCAAGAAGAACCCTCTTCCAAAGTTAGACACCAAAATCGCATTTCTAACTCAAGTTATCATCCGGAAACCATTTACATTTAACTCACAATGGTGACCTTGACCTTTGACCTTTTGACCCCAAAACCAATCCCAACTTGCCTACTCCCAAGGGCAACCCTCTACCAAAGTAAGACACCAAAATCTCATTTCTAACTCAAGTTATCATCCTGAAACCATTTACATTTAACTCACCACGGTGACCTTGACCTTTGACCTTTTGACCCCAAAACCAATCCCAACTTGCCTACTCCCAAGGGCAACCCCCTATCAAAGTTAGACACCAAAATCTCATTTCTAACTCAAGTTATCATCCGGAAACCATTTACCTTTATCTCACCATGCTGACCTTGACCTTTGACCTTTTGACCCCAAAACCAATCCCAACTTGCCTACTCCCAAGGGCAACCCTCTTCCAAAGTTAGACACCAAAATCTCATTTCTAACTGAAGTTATCATCCGGAAACCATTTACATTTAACTCACCACGGTGACCTTGACCTTTGACCTTTTGACCTCAAAACCAATCCCAACTTGCCTACTCCCAAGGGCAACCCCCTACCGAAGTTACAACCCCAAACAACATTTCTAACTCAAGTTATCATCCGGAAACTAAGCTGCCCGGACGGACGGACGGACGGACAGACACACATACATCCGGACGGACGGACGCCCTAGGCGATGACAATACCCCTCGAGCCTCTCGGCTGAGGGGTAAAAAACAAACCCTCAATGAAGCATTTAACTCTGCCTCTCTTGGCCTTCTTGCAAGGATTCATCCCTTTATCTTAAAAAAAGCCCCATCCAATTAAACAAGTTATGTTGTGGATACAAAATAATTTAAGTGGGTGTTAAGGCACGTAAATCTACTGTGTGGCTATATTTTTCCTTTCTAGAAAAGCCTCCAGAGCTACATGTATGGATAGGAAATAAAACATTGCATGCATTGCTTTAAAAAGAAGTATTTGACATTTTGAGGCATCCATGGCATTTGTGAAGTGGAGGGCCCTCTTTCATTGGAATTCTTAGTGTGAATTAATCGATTCAAAATCAATTTAGGAATCTTAAGAATTTTTTTTTGAATTCTGAAGAGTATTTCAGGTTGAAAATGATACAAAATGTATTTTCTTAGTTTTGTTACCAAATTTCAAGTTTAGGCCAAGCTAATCGATGTGGTTTTGTGCTGTAATAAATGTTGTTTTTTTTCTTTCTGGCGATTGTGTAGTTTACGAATTGTGTTACCATGAGACTAGATCAAAAATCTACTTCAAAGTTTATTTTGGAATGATAAAGCAATAGTTTTGAGTTTTGACTCTAACTTGACCGAAACTAAAGGGGGCCCGCAACTACAGAATCACCTTTTTCTTTAGTCTTTTAACGAGTACACGCCGGATGACGTGAATACCCGCCGCCCGGGCCCGTATGCATGCACTTTTGACCAAAACTGAATAACAGGCAACAGCCATATCAATGCACATTGTCAAAATTTGATGCAAGCTAGAGACATGAGTGATGGCGCGATTTGCAGCATGAATGATGCTTTTGTGAACAATGGCAACCGAAAGTCGTCCGAATTCAACCCGAAATTACAAGATAACTAGACGTCTGAAAGTGCATAATTTTTGTTGCCATTAACTTATTAAGCAGTTACATTGGCTCCCCTTGCTAGGGCCTACCCTGGCCTAGCATTAGCAACGGGACTGTCCATGCACAGACCATATGTACAATGTGTGGTAGCCCGACTGCGTCTGGCCGTACAGTACTATCGCAAGCTCTGTAGTACGGCCAGACGCTGAATGCTTCCAAAAAGACTGAATTTTTTTGGCCGCCGATGTAGCGATTTTGCTACATCTTTCGATCGCAATTATCTTTTCATCCAGGACACAAATTTCCAAAGTTAACATATGCTGCATCATTTGAGACGACGTTCACAGACCGTGCATCCTGTAGCCTACACTACACGCTACACAATACTGAGCATGCGCAGACATCAATGATATATGGACCTAGTTTCCGCCTCACACACGTACAACTAAGTTTAATGAAGAAGGTGTCCCCGAACCATTCTAGTTGAGTACCAGCGACCCAGTTCACGCTAATGAATGTTTGAATGCTATGGTGGTACCAGTGATTTCTGCATGCCACGTTGCAAGTTCACACATGTGTTCCATTCTTTGTACAGCTCTGTGATTGATACTTTCGTTCCAAATTTTCCTGTTATTTTCTGAAGTATTTCATCGTAATTATTAGTATTAGTTTTCTATCTTGATTAAGTTAAACGTGTGTGTCTTTTTTTAGTACGATGATGTCATGTCAAGGAAAAAGAAATTAGATTTTTTTGCTTTTGTGGAAGATTTGGACCAAAGAGAATCGGCCATCTCTAAATATTTGTCGTCGAAGTGCGACGCTTTAGCGACGAACTTTATTCATTCTAAATTATCTCTGGACGACAAACTCTCCCTGCTTGTTTCCAAGTTTTCCTTTGCTGAAGTTCTGCGTGTGCGAAATTGTATTGGAAACAGTGGGATTGAAGACTCGGATCTGCTTGCTGAATGTTTGGCAGCAGATGCTGAACTGTGTGCAGCATTAGTGGCTTTAAATTCTCAACAAGAAGAGCTGGAAGGAGTTGAAGCTGCTGCTACTAGTACTACTGCTAGTAGTAGTAGTACTAGTACTAGTAGGCCTACTACTACTACCGTATTTGCTCCACCAGTCTCTAGATGCCTGGTTTGTGAGGAGAAACTCACACGGAATCATGGGATTACAACCGTGAAATATTTTTCATTCACTGGTATTGATGAGGCCAAGAAAATTACTTTGCGGTGTCGTCCCTGCAACCTCACATACGACTGGTACGAGTACGGGAGTAAGACAACACACTGGAAACTGTATGAAGAGCAACGTCCAGCTGTACAGGCTAGTGACAGTGTGTTCGTCTGTCGAAAGCTGTTTGATTTTCAGTGTTCCCTTGCGTAAGTAGATCTTGAGTGGTCTTGAAAACTTAAGTGTACTCTAGTCCTAGAACTATGAGGCAAAACACTAATTAAGGGAAAATCTAATTAAGTACAAAAACGTCCATCCCAACCAAGCTTTTTTCCCACAGAACCGCTGCACAGTTTGCCCCTAAACTCCGTACAATACCTCATGACATATACTCACGTTATGTGCACCAAACAAACATCGGTGGATTTTGTCGGTTTTTTGGCAAAAATGATGAAAAATATGCCCTTTCCGCAAAACTCCGTACAATACCTCATGACAATACTCACGTTATGTGCACCAAACAAACATCGGTGGATTCTGTCGGTTTTTTGGCAAAAAATGATGAAAAATATGCCCTTTCCGCCATGTTCCGCACTGAGCCAACCTGACTCTTGAAACGTGCACGTGCGCAGAATGATTGCAGTCATTTTTGGTTCGATCGCTCGAAGTGCGCCGTGGGGGGTACGTACTTGCACTTGTTCATAAAAACTGCCAAAAACCCCTCAGAAAATTGGGACCATTTCTCTTCATAAAAGATGAAACATTTTGGCCTGTGTACAAAGTGCGTATGGCGCCACTAAGTTGTGTGAGGTCACAATTAACCCTACGTGAGTAAAGTTTGGTAACCGGAGAAGATGTGTATAACCATTGAACTCCATTAGTAAGACGTACATGTAAAACGGTGTCAGGTCAACTGCCCCCTGGCCGACTCGCCCCTTACTGACTCGCCCCCTGACTGACTCGCCCCTTACAAGCTCGCCCCCTGGCCGACTCGCCCCCTGCAAAAAGATGCACCGTACGAAAAAAAAAAAAAAAATGGAGGGGAACACGTACATTGTTACCTAACTTTATTCAAACGCCAATTTGAAGGATTCCTGGTACAAAAGCAAGCGTCATTTTTCCGGAGTCGGTGCCAGTGGGGCCTGAGCGCGTAGTGCCAGTCTATTTCGTTCCGGAGAGCCCGTGGGGCACATGCGCTTAGCAGCCGGCCCCGGCGGTCTATTTTGCAGTCCATTCACGGTGACTGCCGGCGTCAGTGACCGTTCACTGTTTGTCAATGACAATACTTGTGTATTTATCTCGACTCTATGTATATTTTCAGCACAAACCATCTTTCACCTGTCGTTGTTTCCGTTAAGATTTAAAAGTGTTTTAGCCTAAAGGGAACACAGAACTACTTTGCTCTAATTTTCAGAATGGTTGATTTAAGGGTTAGAATGTATTTTATAGAATATATTGTGACACTGAACATGCTGAATTATTTGAAGTTTTGTGTTTGTAATAATGATTTGGGAGGTTCAGTTCTTTTTTTATGTTTGCCAAATGTAGCATTACCGGCTTTAATGATTGACATTTTTTAAATACAAAGAAATTAGTAAGTTTTTTTTTGGGGGGGGGGGGCAGCTGAGACATGTTTGAAGCACATATCAGAGGCATGTGGTTTGGGGGGGGGGGGTATTTTTCCATCTCGAGAAGGTCAAACAATCTTGTTAATTCGAGAGGGGCATCTTTTTGAGAGGCAGTTTTGCATTCACAAGGGAGGAGAAAATTTTCAAAGCTGGATTTGGAAGATTTTTTTCTAGTAAGGCTTGTGTGCTTATGTTAAAGCATCTAAGACGATTGTCCAATTCAAGATTTGGTTCTGAATTTGAAAGTTATATTACTGAGCCTATGTTCGGTATGTTTGATAAAAACACCACTAAATGATATAAATTTGAAAAATCAAAAAATATTTAAAAAAATTGATTTTTCAAATTTATATCATTTTATCTAAAAAATATTTTTTTAAACTGATTTTTTTTTAAAACTAAGAACCCAGAGTCGAGATCTACAAGTAGTGACAAAATTACAATTACAAGCATTGACAATAGGTGAGCGCGAGTATACCTGCCGTACCGGTACCTGCTGCGGCCATGCGCACCACACGTACCTGCCGCGCGCTGGTGTCATGTCTTTTTCCCTTGTATTGGTTAAACCCCCTCACGTGAACAGTCCCGCTCCTAATTATCTATGCATAAGCATGCGCAATATCACCAACGAGTCCGTAATTCATAAAACTTAAATTCATGCTACACCGGCAGTCACCATGAACGCTATGCACACAGTACAGGCGCTAGCCCCACGGGCCCAAAGACACGGGCACTCCGCAAAAATTCAATCAAGCTGCACAATATGGTAAAGCTGTGCTAATGTGTTTTCAATCGAAATTAATAGGATCACAAAGTTTTTTTGCATTTGTACCGGAAACCATCAAAATGGCGTTTTAATAATTAAGCTCCATTAAGTTTCACGTTGCAACTGGGCAATGTGTTCTCCATCTTTTTCCAGAGGGCGAGTCGGTCAGGGGGCGAGCTTGTAAGGGGCGAGTCGGTCAGGGGGCGAGTCGGTAAGGGGCGAGTCGGCCAGGGGGCAAGCTTGTAAGGGGCGAGTCGGTCAGGGGGCGAGTCGGTCAGGGGCGAGTCGGTAAGGGGCGAGTCGGTAAGAGGCGAGTCGGGTAGGGGGCGAGTTGGCCTGCAATCATGTAAAACATGTATGTTCGGCATGTGAGTGTGTGTTAAACCTGTGCAAACAACACCACATATGCGTATGGTGCACTGATTTGTGTGACGTCACAATTAACACTACGTGCATGCGTGTGTAGAGAGCTAGCTGACTTTCACAGGGGGGGGGGGGGGGGGGGGGCTATTCCATTATATCACTCTGTTCTTTCTCATTACTTTTATTGTCTGTCCACATGTAAAGAGAAATGTGCGTTCAACCTGTGAGTGTGTACAATGTACGTGTTCTTCTTTTCAAACCATGGACGAAAAATACGGTGAACACACGTGTGGTTGCTTTCAACTTGTGACTAACACCATTGAATCGTGTGCGTTGTTTGCATTAGCAGTTCTCAAATTTGCTGCAAGCAACCAATTCCAGCGGGCAAGCAACCGATTCCAGCGGTCAAGCAATTTTCCCCTCCTGAACAGGCACATTTTCAACTGGCCCTGCACTAGTTATTATAATCATTTGACTGGATGACCTTTGTAAACACAAGTGCATTTTGAACGATAATAGGGAGTCGGGAAGTAGCTTTAACTAAAAGCTGCCCTAGTTCCGGTTCCCTATTATCATTCGAAATGATTAACTGGTTTTTTCTTCTTAAATAAAACAGGTTCAACCTTTGTGCAGTGGTTCATAATTTTTTTTGTGTCGTTCTTTACAGCAATCATTCATGGGTCAGTTTTGCAGGGTTTGCTGAGTCTTTCAATGATGCATTTCACATGAGCAAGAGTTGTAGTAAGTATCTCAAACTGTATTATTTTTACTAAATCAAAAATGTTCTCACCCTGCTGAGACCAACAGTATCCAACTACATGTATGTCACATACCCATTAGAGCCTGTTGGATTGAGCAGTTAACCCCTTGGGCACATTCCTCATACAAAATGTTTGATTCAGCAGGCAACCGAACTGCATTCTAACGCCATGTTGGACTCCGTTGGATTCAGCAGACAACTGAAAATGAGGCACAGTGGTTTGAACAGGAAAGTCCGGTTGGACTCTGTTGGATTTAACAGTGTAGTTCTGAGGAAGTATTAGGAGGGTTAGGGTTATTTGACTAATTTACATTACTTCATGTATGTTCTCTCCAATGCTGTTATATGTGCACTGCTTTAATGTTCCGTTCATTTGTTATGTTGAACTTGGAAGTAAATCATTTTGTTTTTCACCAAATAAAACTGATAAAAAACTCATTGAAATCCATGTGTGTTGCAAAGTTTGCGGTAATCACTGGCCCATCACCGTGTGGTTGTTCCTACCACCATTAGTTTATGTCCATGTAATGCCTGTGGCTTTCCATACGTATAACTGTGGTCACAAGAAAAAAAACTTGAGCTTTCAGTGTGTACACCTTCAGGGGCCAAAGAAGGTGTACTCGTCCTTTAAGAACGTGTATGTATGCATTAAAAGCTGTGGGTTTTTTCCGATGAGCAAATGTTGAATTGTTTTTTTTTTTTTTTTTTTACATATTTGCGCTTTTGAAGCTATACGGTGCTACTCAGCATCATGCTTGTTTGTTTTTTAAATTGTTATTGCCTGAAACAAAAGACCAGATTTTTTTATAAAGTGTTGAAATTTGATGAAAGGATGAATCTTTTGTTTTTAAACTTCTTTTGGAGGGTGAGACTTCTTCAAGATGGGGTCTGAAAGTTTTACTTTAGGTTTTATTTTGATAATTAAACATATTTTGATTTCTTGACCTTTGTTGGAGATAGAAAAAAATTGAGATGGTTTCATGGGTATACTTCAGTGACCTGTCACAGAATGGTGCAATGGAGGATTTCTTAAAACAGCATTAAAACTTACACTACACTAGTTTTTTTAAATTTTATTTGGAATTATTGTAATTAATTTGCAAAAAGTGCTAGGCTAAAAGAAGAAAACCTTTCATATTTGTTTGTTGCCCCCTTAACAACTTTACAACATCAATATCTCTTGACAGAAACACGTTTAAAAAGTTCTATGTGTTTTACTTCATGTCAGAAATGATTACGTTTTTATTGTATATTCCGCAATCTACATGTACGTAAAACTACAAATTGATCCGGATTTCTGTCATCACTCAGCTTCCTTCTTTACCTTTTTTTTATTATGTGTATTTGTTCTTTTTTAGGACTCACTGCCAAGCAAGTCTCTTCTGTATTTTACAACGGAGAGGTGGAGAATGAGCTGCGTGATATATGTCAACTTGACATGTTCCAGTTGAAGAAACGTGATGGAGACATTGAAAAGGTTATAGAGGCCATCGACGATTTGCGAATTCACAACACTTATGAGCACCCTAACTGCCACCCAAAGTGCAAGGCTAAAGGTACGTGACAATATTTGCATGTGCATATTGTACATCTTGGTTATATTTTTCCCATGCAACATTTGTTTCACAAGCAACATCAGCAGTTTTGCATGTAATTGAATGTTTATCACATATTTCTGATATACTATCATTCATTTGTGATTTTTTTTCCCTATGGAGGCAATGGACAAGTTGTTTATTTGTGTAAATGAATTTATCATTTTAAAGTACTTGTTGCCCCTGCATACATGTTTAGTGTACATTTGCATGGATATGCATGCAAGAAATGCAGGTACGTGTATGCCCGTAAATGTTAGTGTCTTAGTGATTTCAATATGAAGTCATAATGACAGAAAGAACCATGTTGTTTAATGAAATGACACCAATAATTAAACGCATGCCTGGTTTAGACACGTACATGTACAGCACTTTGTCATGTAACCAAAAAGCCCTAAATGGATGAAACATAACCTTGTATAAATTGCTTTGTAACAGGTTGTGGACGAGTGTTTGTTGCTGATGGAATATGGAAATTGAGTTTCCCTCACTGCATGTTCAAGGTCAAGGTACATGTACATCTTAATTTGCTACACATGCCAAAAAAAAACAATAATAGTTCTGCTTCCGGTTTCCCTACCTACCCTATTCTGACAGCCCTTACCCTAATTTTTTTTATTGGAAAAATGAGAAAAAAAGTACCTCAAACCATCATTTTCTACCTTTTACCCTTGACTACACACAGACGCCTCCATATGAACGTACCAACAAAAAAATCGCTACCTACCTACCTACCCTATTTTCAAATGCCATGTAATCGGAAGCAGAACTATATTTTTTTTTGGCCTAAGTGGTTTATTCCGTGGTTCATTCATGATGTAATAAAGACAGCTGATTCTTGGAAGGAAATGTACACAAGTTCTTGCCAATTCTATAATTAGTTATTTTTTAATTGCCACATCTTCTGCATGATTGTGTGAAGCCATGTGAATCACAGATATCTTGGCGTACAAAATAATATACAAACAAACCCTCTTAGCTTGCATAATCGTACTGGTAACTGTATAAAAGTATTCATGTATATGCATTTTTTTTTATTTTGAGTTGCATGTATTCTTTCCTTGCCTACTGCCTGATCTAGATAGCATTTATTTTTACTTATGCTAAGAAAAAAGAAATATTAAAATAGTTCTGCTTCCGATTACCTGTCATTCAAAAATAGGGTTGGTAGGGATTGTTTGGTTACCATTTTTTTGGGGGGGTATGATCATATGGAGGCATCTGCATGTAGTCAAGGGTCAAAGGTACAAAGTGGTGGTTTTGTGTGTTTTGTTTTTATTTTTCCAATGAAAGATTAGGGTAGGGACTGTCAGAATAGGGTAGGTAGGGAAACTGGAAGCAGAACTTTTTTTATTTGTCGTAATTGTATCGTTTGAGGGTGTTTGAACTGTAACCATGTTCTCCTGTATTTTGCTTTAACAGAGTATTGTGTCTGGAATCCCTGTACCAAGTCTACCAAATGTGTGTACAAAGTCCCCCGCCTATGGAAAAGCTTTTTGCCTTGAACACTGCACAGCTGTCGAGAAGGAGTCTATTCCAACAGACTTGCGTACTTTTTTGAAGTACTGCGTGGAGAAGAAAGTAAATTCGGCTACTTCAAGTATGTCCTATTTTATTTTCTAGATTGTACTGGGGTGTTGTGATTAATAATAATAATTACAATTTTTGTTATCCCATTGGCTTGTACACAAACTTTTTCAACAGGCACAACCCCTAAGCCCATATTTACCTGACCTTACCTTACATGTAATACATATCTACTACTACTGCTACTGCTGCTACTATAGCTACTACTACTTCTGCTACTGCGTCTTTCTGCTACTACTTCGGCTGCTACTGCTACTACCTTTGCTACTGCAGACCTGCCAACTAGTACGATTCTGCCGTATTTTGTACGTCAATCGCTGTGTATGTTTTTTTTCAACGTGATTCAGTGTATGCACATGAATTATGATTTAAAGAATCAAACTGGCACTTGGCGGCGACGTGATAAAACATGAATAAGTTTAGATTATACTTGGAAGTCATGAATGTTTCACCTGTGTTATAGGTTTATTTATTTCAAACATTCATTCATATTTACATTCATTCATATTTATTTCCACTTAATCATTTTGAAGGGAAACGGTTTAAACAATAATTTAGATAACAGAATAAGATTAAGTGGTGGGCTTGTCAAGTGGAGAAGTCCATTATGTGTTGAAAAAATATATATTAAATACATTTGTACCTTTAACTTAACTACACAATGAAGTACACTTTAAGTTACACAAACACACATATACAAGGGACCAACACAAACGGGACAACTACATGAGTAGTTTATGTTTAGGTAGACTTGCATTGAATAGTTTTTAAAGCAGTTTGTTTATTAATAAGGTATCTGATCAATATCCTTATTCATGCAAATTGTTTGATTGGGTTTACCACCCCCGGGTAGACCTTTGGTCATTTCTTTTTATAACTTTAATTAAGATTATTAATAATGGAGCATTGAAGCCACATTTATTTGTTCATGTACTAGTAGCCCGTTTATGCATATCTTTGAAAAATACAGTTTTTTTAAAGAAAAATACAACTTTTTGGAAATTCAGAATACATTTTTTCGATCCCAAAGATTGGCAGGTCTGCTACTACTACTGCTACTACTACTACTACTACTGCTACAGTCCTCGTTAATACCAGCACAAGTAACACACCTCTATTGTGGTTCATTACCCATGTCGCGTGCAGTGGGGTATACAGTTTCAGTGCTGTGTTTCAGGCAGACTGATGAGACGAGATGGTCGTGCAAAATGTTGTCGTGCATGTGTTAAATACATGAGGCGGGGTACTGAACATTACCTTTTCAATGACTTTTGAAAGAAAAGATGAATTATTGACACTGGACGATAGTTGGCATATTGATTGGTGTCCAGAGAGGGTTTCTTGGATTGATAATTGGCATTTTTCAGTGGATGAGGAAATGAATCACATATGAATCGAGGCATGAATTGTGTAGGTCATAACCGGAACCAGTGAATTTTCAAAACCATGTGTGAAAAACTACAATACTTCTTCGGTGAGGCAATTATGATCTGTCTGATTTCTTGTTCACATACACAAGCTCAAAGTCAAGGCTGGTGCACGCGTATGGGCCACAGGTCTAGGGTTAGGGCCACTGAATGAATCTCCTCCACTTGCTCTATAAATTCCAGATATTTTGTTTGTGAAGAATTTTTCTTGATGGGAATCGCACTGTCGGTGATGTTTCACAGTCGTACTGAAGAAAGTGTTAACTACCCATCCAGTGTTCTTAGTGTCGGCATTGGGGGTGTAGGGGGGTTGATAATTTGTGATTTTTTTGGGAGGGGGTCGGGTTTGTTTGTTTTTTAAAAACAAATGGGGGGGTGTTTGTTAGACGATTTGTTGTGTTTTGGAGTGATTGTTTGGTTTTGGGCTGTGGATTTCTAGTTGCCCAGTTTTCACCCTGCACTCTAACCTAAACAACTACCCCGATCCCCCAACCCCTCAATCCCCTAACTCGCATCAACCCCTTAACTCCTCTGCACCCAATGTAACCCTTAGTGGGTAAGAAATAACTGATGGTCTCACTACACCGTCCCCCTCCCTTTTTTTTTTGATTTACAATCAAGTCACTACTTCAGACATTAATTCAAAAGTTGCACTTGCTTTTCAATTGTACTTGCAACTGCACACCATTCATGAATTCATGTGAAAAATATTTGTATGTATTTCTTTTATTGTAATAATATTTATATATATTTGTTATACCTCTGTCTTCAATACTTTATTTACATTTGCCCAGAACGATCACGCGTTCAGTATATATAAAGTCATAGCACATTCCCTGTGGGGTGATATCCCACAGGGAGTGTGTTATAAAGTTTGTGCATACGGTTAGAATGCGTACATACGCGTTACATACGTAAAACGCAGCGATCTTGCAGACCATCAGCTGTTTTGAGCATGTGACATGCATGTCAGTTGCCATTAGATCATCATGTCTTTTGTGTTTACTGCTGTTTGTTTTTGTGATTTTTACATCGAAATAAAAAAAAATCCATAACAAAATGTCATATCCCTTATCACAACAGTCCACAATTGTTAATATATTGCAGCTTCCAAGCATGCTCCCAGTGCTGCTACTGGTGGAGGTCCTGCAGCTTCTACACACAGAGCTCCAGCACAGCAAGATCCTGCAATAGGTACTTCTGGAGGTCCCGCTGCAGTGACATGTGTCAAGCGTGATCCTGTATCTGCCTCCATTGCTGATCCCGTTGCTGTCCCATGTGCACGTGATGAAGGTATATTTGCCATGATGATAAATGAGTATTTTATTTTATTTGCAATGACCACCCCAATTCCCCCCAAATTAACACCCAGTTGTGCTGGATTTTCGTAGATACAGATCTATGGCACGCTTTATCTGCTAGTGTCAGCAAAGCTTGCCCCTCACAGGGTAGCAGTTGTTACACATTCAAAATTCAAGGACTCTGCACTGTTGGATATAGTGAAATTGGGAGACTGCATCAGAAATGATTTTGCAAATTTTGATGATAGTTTCCCAAAATACAGCAGTTTAAGTACTGGTACATGTACAGGGTGGGAGATGAAGCATAGGGCATATGCATGTTGTTTATACACAACTCCTGCACATTCTACATATCAACCAAGAAAGAAACATAGTAATTTTGGTAGCTTTTTTTTTTTTGAAATGTTACTATTCGTACATTGTTAATAAATTATGATGTATCTGTGACCATGGTGACTGTGTAATAAAAAAGGACTTGGTCACAATTATTAGTCTTGTTCACATGTGTACGCAGAGATGAATCTTCAATGATCGTTAATGCTCCATTACTTGAACAGTCATGTCACGACTGTTGTAGCCAGCTAACCAGCTGTATTTGGTCTTCCTTATTCCATTGTAACTAATAGGGAACTGTGAGTGTGAAACTTCATATGTACCTTTTTTGTTATTTTAATTTTGTTATTGTAATTTTTATATAAATGATTTACTGTGTCGAGAGGTTGTTTTGGTTAAATCCACATTAATATAGTACGCCGTGCATCCCGCCACTTCCAAGAATAAGCCCAGAGAAACATCCAAACAAACTGACAATTGTGTATTTACTATAAAGATTTGTCGATAGTATGAGTAAGGAATAAATGACGACAGTGGCCTGGCAGAGGTGTAGCCCCTGTTTGTGGATATCATTTGTGGTCGGTCCATAAATGGTGATCAAACCTTCATTTGTCATCATTGATTTTGTCGGGAAAACTAATATTTAATTTGAGTCCCAAAATGTTATCTTTTTTGGTATATTTCTAATGATAGGTTTGTTCCATGACCTTATTTTGTGTAGGTTCTTCCACTGCGCCAGAGTGTGGAGTCCTTGAGGATGCATATGATGACCCTGTCAGAGGTAAGTAGTAAATGTCCATGTCTTACAATTATTTCATAATCACATTATAAAAGCAGATGCTTACCTGAAATTGTTCGTCTGCTTACCAAATCCATGCTGTTTGCTTTTTTTTTTTGTATGTCAGGTCTTGGAAACCAGTGTGAATAACGTTATGTACTTGAGTGATTTTGCAATTGGAATTATCTTGTTCCCTACTCCTGCCTAGTCCGGTCTATTACACAAAAGAATGCACCAAAAAAACCCCCAAAATTATGTTACAGTGATTAGCTCGGAAGATGTAATTGAGAGATGAACTGGGAGAGTCTGTTGTAGTGAAGTTTCTTGAAGATTTTAGAATAGCAAGGAAAAATAGAAATAGGTTTGTAGGTGCTGGTGTTACATTATCACTGCTTTTGGACATGTGAATAACTTTATCAACTTTGACATTTCAATAAAAATCACTAGCTGCTAAATGCCTATTGATTTCTTTGGCGGTTGATGATATTGACAAGTTTTAATTGGAGGTCGGTATTGTAATATTTTGTTCCCAATAACCACTCACATTTTTTGGGGCTGTCTGAACAGACCAAGGATTTTCAGTTTGTGTCTAATGTGAAGTGGATTTTGGTATTTACTTTACTTGTAAACATCATCCATTGAAATATACAATCACTTGGCATACATGTAACTGCACACTTTCTTTATCACAATTTATATTTTCTGCTCACAAATACGTTTTTTGGTCAAAATTTACAAACTTATTTTAAGAAATGTGTACATCGTACTAAATGCACACCATTTTATTACACCCTATTCTCCTACAGAGGACACCATCAGCAATGTTGAACAAGTGCTTGAAAAGATTCAGCCAAGTGTGTCATCTGGACCATCCGTTGTTGACGCCCAAGGTAGGTTGAATTAAAAAAGACAATTTCACTGTAAATAACCATAGCACGTGGGACAATTTAAGTATTCCTCTTCAAGAGCTTTTCTTGTGGCTTTATTGTAAACCTTTGTTTAATCATCTGTCTAAAGTGTGAAAATTAAAACTTACATAATCACTGTCACAACACGTTGGTCCTGCATAAATGCACACATTTCCAGTGTGCTAGCACACACCATGCCTTTATTCTCAGGCACAAAGGCTGAGGACCATAGCAGGGTTGCTGCTTGCCTGAAAAATTCATAAATTCAATTTTACAAATTTAATGCCTTAAAAAGCATGAATTATTAATACAGGTCACACAGTACGGAAATAATGTCGCTATTGGGTTGCCTATACAATTTCCCTGTATGTTGAGCTAAATACACGTGGCCGACACTACACACTTTGTGTGTGTAACATGCAGTATTTTGGCAAAAATCCCAAATAGTCTGATTTCAGAGATTGTTAATGTACTGATTCTCTACAATTTGAATCTTCCGGTCACTAAACCATGCGGAAGGAACAACACTGGGAGGGTAGGGGAGCAAAAACTGTTTCAAAGTATGTAATATGAAACAGCTAAAGAACAAACAGTAATGAACTCGACATGTTTGCAACTGGTTGTTTCTAATGTTTCAATTTTTTTTGGTCTCCCACAAAACTGTAAAAATGGATGTACCCACTTACATCGTTTTATTTCAAACCATTGTGGTTGGTCAAATTAAACTTGGTTCGTGAAGGGGAAAATAGTACATTACATGTATGTTAAAAAAATGTGTTGATACAGAACTTTACCGGTGTACAATAACCACTGGTAATGAAGCTTGTGTTCAACTCTCTAGGGTAACAATACCGTAAATACTGTATTTATTCAACATGGAATTTCTTAGTTTATCCGGTACCTCATTGTAGATTTTGACAGTTTATTGACTTGTTTGCCTCTTGACTTTCGATACCCACTTCTAGTGTCTATGCTACAGGCCCCATGGCTTTCTAGATATAGAATACAAAAATATTAGCTATACTTATGTCCCTAATTGTGAAGCTTGAGTGTCCTACAATGTGAATTGATGTGCCATTATTGGTATAGTTAAAATTGGGTCATCATGTGTCCCCCCCCCCCTTTTTTTCCATATCCAATGGATACTGTTTCAAATGTTAAACATAATTATTTCCAATCATTTATAATCAAATACATATTTTGTTTTTGTCCAGGTACATTGGCTTTTCTTCAGAAACACATCTCCAACATCAGCAAGATCATGGCAGGTTGTATAGAAGAAAAACCAACTTCTTGTAAGAAGGACACTGGTCGTAAAGCACGTCTTCAGAAGTGGTCTCGGGGTCACTTGTTTATAGTACGTGCTGGAGGACACATTGAGTTCTTCCAGTCTCTGTACAAGTAAGTACAAAAAGGGATGAAGTGGGGGCCCTGTACCACACTTTCAATTTGGGCGCTGTTCAAATCCGATGATCATTAACACTATATCACGGAATAATGTACGTAACCCCTAACCAAGCTGGCTCTGTATGTATTTTGTCCAAGGCGGACATTATTACTAACAACAACAAAAATTGGGTGTAAGGAGGGGGGGGGGGGGGTTTCGCTTTTCCATGTATTTGTATGGAAATGGTTTTTTTTCTTACAGAACTGGGTTCATTTTTTTCGGCCCCCTTATACCCCCTCTTGATCTGCGCGTGCCCATGAGCAATTTACATTGCATGGTACATGAGTGATGTGCCCCATGGCATACATTACGGTACCTTTTACTGTTGGAAGTGTCATTTTCACTGCATTGTATGTTAGTATGACCTCTCAAATGAGGTTGTAGCTGCGCTGGTGCATTGTAAAATATTGGGGGGGGGGGGCCTTAACACGAAGAAACAAAAATGCAGCTAATTCTGTACGATCAGTTGGCCAATTATGCACCACAGTAGGAAGAGACCCACGCTAACAGCTATGGAATTGGACTCCTGTAATCTAGTTCAGAGGTATAACAAAACAATTGCTAATTGTGGACGTGCACAAATCTGGAGCTTGGACAATACCGGAAAATATGGTCGGTGAATAGTTAAAGCTTTGTGTTTGAAAATTGTGTTAAAAAACAATGAGGGGCCTTCAATAACAGTTACAGAACAATTAATAGGACAATATGAGATTCATAATAACCGGCTTGTTCACAAGTTAGTGCATGGGGGTGAGGGTGGGGGGGGGGGGGTGGCTTCAAAGCAATCATAGATAATACAGTCGAGTCTCGTTAATACAAACTCGTTCGGACCTAGCCAAATTGTTTGTTATATCCGAATTTTGTATTGAGAGGAACGTCAGTCCCATTCATTGTGCACATAAATGCACAGTCAGGACAAAGGCTTTATGTTTGTTATAGGCAGAATTTGTATTAACAGAGTTCGTACAAACGAGATTCGATTGTACTTGTAACAAGATACTGAAATGTAACTGAATCTGCAATTTCTAGTACTGTGTGTGCCCGCAAGCAATTACTTTCAGAAAAAAATAGTTCTTACAGATGTAGTTTCATGTCCTTCAAATATGCACGAGTTAGCCTTGTATTTTGTCGTAGATGAAACATGCCTGACCCATCTTGACCATCGGTTTCTTTACTTTTCTTCATTAGGTCAGAATCACCATCACAAGTGTTCATCATTCTTCTTTCATGGCTGGATGTGCTTCTCCAATCAATACCACCAAGTGAATGGTCGAACATCGCTGTTGTCTACGACAATATGTGTCACCTGGACAACATGGTAGTTGCCAGGTCACCCCTGCCACTGCCTGCTCCTTGGTCACACATGTGGAGTGCACTAAAAAAATGTGTGGATCGCTTGCATATACGGAATCACACCGATGAGCAGTGCAAGTTAAAATACCACCCAAAGGATCACCTTGAAGAGGCAGACAATACTATGACTTGCGAGCAAACATTTGTGTGGTTGGCGAGGTTCAAGAAAATAGTATGCGCCATGTCTAAAAACCACCACCTGTTTTATCTTCATCGAATGGTGAAGAGGCGTAACTGGTACACAGCGAAGTGCTATGAGCAAGGTTGCAGCCCTGTTCTTCCGGTGGTAAAAAGTGTAAATACCAAGTAGATTACCGTGTTCTCAATAGGTATTTTAGTTGTTTGTGTTGACCACATCAATCCAAGTACATTTTTTTAAATTCAGTCCTTCTGGTTTGAAAATCTCAGGTGTGTGGAAAAAGGCACACCTGGTTTTTTTTAGGCGTGTGCTTTTTCTAGGTGTGTGATTTTTCTAGGTGTGTGATTCTATATTCCAAGCTGGGATATTATTTCATAATATTCATCGTGGTTTACTATTAAGCCATTTTCTCCTCACTGACATACTTCATTTTATCACAAATGATGAAGTATAATTAGCACACAAGGTGTGCGGTACTGAGGGATTCAGGCTTGCGATTATTCGCACTTCTCGGAAAGCTTTTAGGTGTGCGATGGCGTGGGGGTGTGATTGCATGCCTCATAACAGAAGGGCTGGTAATTAAAACAACACAGCATTCTTTTGAATTGTACCCACAAAAAGATGTACACGAACCGAAAACAGAAGTGCTCCGAAGTGTTTTAATCTCAAAGGGTTGTGATAATATTGAAAGAATTATTTACTTAGATTTAGTTTGTTTTAGAAATGCCTTATACTATTTGCCTTTTCTTTTAGTTGAGAACATTTGATGTTCTCACATCGTTGGAAACGAACTTCCATGCTCAACCTTTGATGTGTTGAAACTTATGTAAAGATTTCTTTATACACAAGACGTTTGAAATGGTTTATCACTGGTTATCAGGCATTCATACCTTTGCACTGTGCAGAGTGTAGATGCAAGAAAGAGTTTGTTGGCAAAGCTTTGCAGTTCAGGAGGTCTTTGCTTTTTCCATGCGAAGTAATTCCTGAATATTCCCTTATTCACACAACCATCATCAATATCAAATTATCATCTCGAAAGCACTCAGAGAAGGCACATCCGCCAAGGCTGAATAATTCCCCTTTGTATTATTAGTACACCATATTGGATATCTACTGGACTTTTTTATTGCACTTTCCCTCTTCCCCATAATGTACAACAGGCGCGGTTATGGCGCCTATATTTGTGTAGACTGGTTATTTTCTCCATACACTTAGGTCTAAGAAAAGTCAATGGTGAGCGCTGATACAATCTTACAATCGGGCACACTATATTAATGAAAGTGTACAAATGGTACCCTTCCCACAACTATTTATTTAGTTCGCATGTTTGTCACAGTCTTAAATTTGCTAGTGCCATTGAAAAAAAAATAATTAATTTGCAAATATTACAGGGACTTCGTATCGCAAAAGTTAGGAACTTATCACATTGTGTCTCGGACTCTGAGGAGTACTTGGCGAGTACAAAATAAAACGAAACCCACATGAAGTGAAGTTCTGCGTGTAGCTCTTTTGAAATCTAGGATATGAAAGCCAAGTTGATAAGCTTCCTTTGGGTGCAAAACTTATTCAAATCAATTGTTGTTTTTGAAGTCGCGGAATTTGAAACACAACAACTGTTTTACAGTTCTGTCCACGAACCACCAAAAAAAGTGTGCATCTTTCAGCAAAACGAAAAAAGAAGTCACACACATCCGTATGTAATTTGCTTTCATTTTTGCTGAAAGATCACTTACTCTGTGTGATTCGTTGACAGAACTTTAATAGGGTGACTGTGTTAACAATATCTCAATTTCAACAGTACATATATGTTTTGAATGATTCTTGTACTAAAAGAAAGCTTATGAATTGGGCTTTCGTATCCCAGATTTTGAAAGGGCTACATGCAGAAATTCACTAACACATTGATGCTGACATTTGGGATTCGTTTTTTTGTTACTCGCCTTGCATTCTATTAAAAAGTGTATTATGTAAATTTATATTCTCGTGTCCAAAATGTATCAAATTCATCACTATGTTTGCGTGCTAAATTGATTTGAATGATTTTTGTACTAGGAGAAAGCCGTATCCTAATTGTTTTGGACTCGCCATGTATATTGGTCTTTGTCCCGGTATTTAAAATGTCTGTTTTAGAATCTAAAGACTCTGTCTGGTTTTGATTCGGACAAGGATGTTTTGACTACATGTTGTGACAACATGTGAAGCGCTCATTTACATGTACATAATTGTATTACATCACTAGTGTTGCAATCTATGGTTGTGTTGATAGCAATGTTAGCAGTTTCAATGTAATTTTTTTTTTTAAATCACGTCAACTACAAGTGTTAAGATATGTACACCAGGATATGAGATGTTGAATGTTGAGTCTATTAGAGGAACACATGCTTATTGAATTTGATGTATGATAAAAAAAAAACATTGCTACATGTATGATGTCTGCAACAGTTATTGTTGTAATAGTTTACAATGTGTTCTGTGTTGTTTAGCGATAAGATTAGACTCTTGACAATTTGTGTGCTATCATCGCATGGGGTTGAAGATAACCAATCTCCCAATAGTTTAAGTAGACCTCTGTCAGGAGTCTGCTGTTAAATTCGAAATGTCTTTTATATGCATTTCAACAGCAATGTCCAAAAAGTACATGTGCATGTACAATGTTATTTTTTTTTATTGTCTGAACAAGGGGTGTAAAATCTCCGCCTTTTTCCCTACTTACTGTGTACAAAAGTATAGATGATTTTTCAAATGTAAGCTGTTTTACACCTTTTTTCAGGTGTTTTGAGCTATTCAGTGGTCTCTTTCTCCCCGTCTGAAGTCATTGAGCCAGCATTCTTTGACATGCGGATGTTTGATAATACTGTTCAGAATTCAAATTTTAGGCAGTTGATAGTCGGCGGACCATCGTTGGAAATTTATACAAAAATACTATTTTCTTGTAAATGACTTCACACCAAGTGCCGTAATTTTACAGGATGCTTTATACTGTCATTTACCAACATCCTAGTAAATTACTTCTTAAAACTTGGCAGTTTTATTATTCGATGTTTGCAAATGCTGTATATTCCCTTTAACTCGGCAGTGTTTCATGAACAAATTTGCCTGCCCGACCACTCTGCGTTTGTAACAACAAACGCAAACCTCTATTTTTTTTTTTTTTATTGTTACGTTTTATGTATGGGCTAATTGTTTTTAAAAAAAATTGTAAATGCAAATGTAAGTACATGTAAGAAAATTTGGGGTGAATTGCTTGTGTTTTTTTAACAGTGTTGCTATTGTACCAAAGTTGTGGACACCGTGTCTGTTATTTGTGTTTGCATTGATGCTTGTATTTGTACGCGTTCATGCATACATGTGATTTTTGTATACCTACACAGATTGATTGGACATACCGTATGTGATTTTTATTTGGGGCGTTAATGTATGTTGAAGCTGCATATGTTAAATGAAAGTAGAACAGTTATACAAACATGTTCTATTTGACAAGTGTGTTTAAAATCTTAATCATTGTCCTGATTAGTATTCCGTTTATATCAGTTTATTAATTAGTTAACTTAGTGCGATTTTTACATTAATACATTTTGGAAACCATTTGTTGTGAATGCAAATTTACGTGTTACTGATGAAGTTGTTTGGGAGATTGAATAAATGTGTTATCACGTAAATATTATGCATTTTGAAAATTCGATATGTTTGTTTTGGTTTCCTTTTTAGAAATGTGAAATAATGAAATGATCTACAACTAATACAGAAAAAGGTCATGAAAGAAATGAATTTAAATAAAACTAGTTGAATGAACATTCTGACCTCAAGCTGGCCGTGAATAATAGTTCAACAAAATTAAAATCAATTGGTGACGGGAAGGAGCGTACCAGATATAACAATAAAGGCCCTATAGCAGCTAAACACATCTTTAAATGTCGGTGGTATTAACTGCTTTTCTTTTTCCACACCAAAGGTTTAATTTCTAACGGGTGTATATTTTTACATTTTGTGTTGACAAAAACTACCTTTGCTTTGTTGTCAATTGTCAAGAGACTAAAAAGATATGATTACTTTTTGTTCCTTGGAGCGGCCTTATCCTAAAGTTGGGTTAAGAACACTTACAAGTTCAAGTTGTACGGAAGGTATTAGGACATGACTATAATAAAATACGGCATATTTTTCGCCCGGACGGATAACTCATTTTTAGCTGTTCAAATTAACCCATTTTGAAATTGATTTGAGTTTTTGCTTAATAATTATTTTTAAAAACTTTGGTTGGTTAACGGGGCTGTTAATCTCCCTGAATTTGGGAGGATTTGAACAATACATGGAAATATTCTCCGCATCATTTCTTCAAAACGTTTAATCATGATCATAAACTTTAAATTGATGCTCAACAAATGATCCCGACAAAGAGTAGTACATATCACCGTGACGTCATTGTGACTTATTTAGGTATTACAATCGTAGGTTTTCGCGTGATTGTCGTTCATTTAAAAATCTTAAAGAAAAGTTTGCTAATTGGCTAACTGCCATCATACCGACACAACAATAAATATCTAAAAAAAACTAGATGGTTTTTACGACAGCCAACTTTCCCGCACATTCTTGCAAGTTTGAGTTATTAGACTTAAGTGTTATAACATTGACAGTATCTCTATAATGTTCATCACATTGCGCTAGAATAGCCGGTCAGCATCGTTTACGTGAACATCACGGCCAGGGGTTAGTGAAGGAACGCGCACGCCCCATGGAGTCGAGGCTGCTGTTATCATGTTACGCGATAACGTGCCTACTGTTGTTGCATTACAAAACACTGCATTCGAATTGACCAATCAAACGTTTAGTCCTCATTTAGGAATGAAATGACGTCACGATTTAGTAAAGTCGACTCCGACTTGCTGAGGCGCTAGAGCGCATAAATCTGCATGCTTTGAGATATCAGACGTTAGACAGGAGTCTGGGCTCCATGGATAACGGGTGGTACTCTCACTACAGTTTGCTTGGGAATGAGAAAATTTGGGATACAAACGCCGAAAATACTGCGCGAGAAAAAAACCTAAGAAATAGCGCCCTCTATTAAAAATGAGTGCTTGCCAGATAATACTTTTTTTCAAGTTTCATATGACTTGGTTATTCTAGAGTTTTGTTATTATTTCCCACCAGGAAGCCAAACCTTTTTTTTATAACAGTTTGTCCAACTTGAAATGATCAATGCAAGGATAAAGATCGAATGTTATTGTATTAGCTACATAATCATTGATTGGTGTAGTTAAACCGTACACCAGATGAGAATCTCAGGGAAACATCTTTCAGGTCTGCCACTCTCCCTTTTTTTAGGGGGGGGGGAGGCCTGTCGAAAAAGAAAATGGCCATAAATGACATTTTTTGTAACAGTGACGCAAAATTTAAAGAAAAGAATTAAAAACATGTATCAGATAAGTTGAAGCGTTTTATTACAAATCCACTGAAAAATTACATCTGAAGTTCTCATACATTGCCATGAACTAGAGTTGATTTTCTTTTTCATTACACGTTTATAAAAAAAAAAACCAAGACTCATAAATAAAAATACGGCAATAACAGGAAATGCGTTTTTTATATTCCATGCTAAATGTGGTTTAAAATAATGACCAAAAGAAATACAAATATCGATTTATTTAATATAATCTAATTTTCTTTCATTTATTTACATTTTTATGGGGGGGGGGGCAATTTTAACATGTAGAGTTGTTACCCACACAAAAAAAAGAATTGTATTTCGATGACATAAGTTTGTTCAATATGTAGTGAATGGCCATTACTCGTTTATTTTCAACTGACAAAATTATGGGCACCTGTATCATCACAGACCGATAACATAATTGTTGTATAATGCCAAAAGTCTCATAAAATGTAATGAACCACTTTCTGTTTGCAAACGTTTTGAGAAAGAATTATTTGATATTTCCCTATTTGGAAGCTTTGAATGGCAGCATTACAAATGCAATTATTCTGTTTCCGGTGAAACTGTCTTACCGTTTTTATTATTAGAATATTGTTTTCCAAATCGATTCGTCATGTTTGGTTTATGCTCCATCCGTGCCGTGAAAACAACCAATAAACCCTAACGGCACACCCGCATCCTTTTTTGAGGCTGCATCAAATTTATATACCTTTTTGTGTAAATTTCAGTCCTGTTTTTTTTAATTAAAAAAGAAATGTTTCAGAAGTTTAGATGCTCAACCAGATGCCACACACTTCTATTAATGTTGAAAACATGTTACCGTGAGATAATAATCCAGACGATTATTCTATGATGTGGGGTACTAATCGATGTTTATGTAGCAAATACAAAATATTCGATCTTAAATTTAAAACTGGATCATCTCAAATTGGAAAAAAAACTGTAACGTAGATAATTTGGCTTCCCGATGAGAAATGACCAAAAACAGAAATATAATATGAAATCAGTATCATCTAGCAAGCGGTCGTTGGCCGAGTTTGGGCGGTCTTGTCACAGTTTTTGACACGCGTATATTGCTCTTACAAACCCCGACGGGACGGATAGCTGGTGTGCAGGGGCGGTGGGGGCTAAAATGTACATGGAGGGGGGTTGCGGGGCCGCCCCATCCGTGCCCTTCGCACCGCTCTTAAGTTAATTAGTCTGACCAAAAATCACTCTTAAGTTATAATTATTTTCATGTTTCTCATGTGCCAAGGCATCAATAAAAATTGTTTCATTTTCCCATTTTTAATTTGAAGTACATTTGCACAGCTTCTATTCGATGTGTTAGTCAGTACTCTGATGCACGCTTTCATGTGCATGTACTTTTCAATGGGAACAGTTAACATTTATACATTTTGAAAATGACCCCTCCCCTTCATAAATTCCTGGACCCGACCCTGATGTGCTTCAAAACTGATAACACGTTGTCTTTTTATTAGGTCTGATAATCATTTTAGTGGATTAGACCGGTGTATAGTATAGGCTACATATTAGCATATAGTTTAAATGAGTTGTCAATAATAACTATTCATTTTCGATTATTTGCATGCAACGATGCAACCACCGATTTGGTGATAACGTGCGCGATTTGGTGATAACGTGCGCGATGTACTAGTTCCATGGTTTTTGCGGCTTTGCGCGCGCGTCGCCGTAGCCATGCGCGTCGGCAAAATGAAAAAGTTTATTTTTAATGAAAGATGCATTTCTCAAAACCGCCAAACTCACTGACTTGACTGGAATACTACTGCTGCACAATTGTAACGTGTTTTTAGATTGGGTTATGGTCCGGAGAATAAGCTTTATGTGGCCTCTCTGGACTCCCATATATTTGCACTAAGTTTAGTCGGGCACCATTTGCAGTCAACAGCCGACATTTGAAGCATACAAATCAGGTTAAAAAAAAAAGACTCGTCGCCGCACCACTTTGAGGCGCCCTTTATGACTTTATTACGAAACAAATATATATAGAACGAAACAAATATATATTGAAAGAAAAAAAATTATATATAGAACGATACCAATATATATAGAACGACAATCCAATATATATATAGAACGAAACAAATATATATAGAATGAGAAAGAAATATATGTAGAACGAAAATCAAATATATATGGAACGTAACTCCAATATATATAGAACGTAGGTCATATATATATAGAACGTAACTCAAATATATATAGAACGAAACTCAATTATATATAGAACGTAACTCACATAAATATAGAACGTAACTCATATATATATGGAACGAAACTCAAATATATATAGAACGTAACTCAAATAAATATAGAACGTAAGTCAAATATATATAAAACGAAACTGAAATATATATTGTTGATGTACCCTAACGTGGCGCGGCCCCTAACGTGGCGCACTTTGATTTTTCGCCTGTAGTGCCTAGCTAGAGCAAAAGTTTTAAATGAAATTTCACAGAAAGTGAAATTTCATCAAGTTATAAACACTCCCGTTCATAAATCGCGAATTTATTTACCCGCTACAAAGTTAAAAGAAAAACTTATTTTGGCGTGATTTTCCGATTTTATTTTCAAGTGCAAAGTGAACCCTTTGAAAATGCCCCGAAAAATAAGAAAATAATTTTGTGACAAACATCTGGCTGGGTATGTAAGTAGAGATAATAATGATTTATCAGAATTTATCGAGTTTTCAGAAATTCTTAAATGTTGATTTGGATTATCCCGAGATTTATATAAGTGCGCCACGTTAGGGAACACTCCGCCAAATTGTGCCCAATTTCCGGACGCCACCGTTTTTTAAATTCGGCTTCAATTTTATGAAACCGAAATTGTTCACAGAGGTTAAACAGCAAGCATTAATAAGGTAAAAGTACCAGTATTTCACTGCATGAATTTGAGGTTTGTCAACAAAGAGGTTTGGCAACACTACACGAGGAAATTTGGGTATGCTTCGAAGTGCGCCACGTTAGGGTACACCACCATATACAACGAAACTCAAATATATATAGAACGAAACTCAAATAAATATAGAACGAGAAAAATATGTCGAACGAGAATTGTAATAATTATATAAAAAGAAGCAAGTTGCAAATGGACTCAATTCAGGGTGACTGTAAGGTCAATGCCGAATTCTGCTAGATGTACTTTCAAAATATGATTGATTACACAAAAATCTGCCAAATCACTTATGATTTACACGAAATACATTACCAACACCTATACTCATATGCAGATGT